CAAAATTTGGATGAACTGAAGCTGAGGCAAATTTGTCTCACCCGGACATCTTCTGAATTTGCAGAGTGTAGTTCGTCGTCGGCATGTCTGCGGCCTCCCAGCGGCAAGTGGCGTTGGCTCGATTCTGGAACACACAGCCAATTAGCTGCGGGGGTCGGTGGGAGGCCTTGGAGGTCGTACTGGAGGCTGGAGGCAGGACTGAAGATGGAGAGAGGCCGGAGTTAACGGCATGAAGAGGCAGATACTGCTCAATAAGTCTGGAGTTTTTCGTTAGCTATAGCTATCTCCAGGCTAAAGAAATTTGGCATGGTTTGGAAATACATCACAGATGCAAGATTTGTGCAGAACAGGATTTTGATTTTATCTGGCAGGAAATAATTTAATGAAAAAAAGAGGAGCAATTAGTGAATTTGTTCTACAAGCCAATAGTCAGAAGTAGCACCTTGCTTGCAGTGCTTATTAAAACTTTAGAAGAATTATCTGTAACCAATTTAACCATGCCAGCTGCATGTGATTTATCTTGTTAAATATTCATATTTTTATGGGCTATGGGCTGTAATTGCTATTTGGAGTGAGGTTTAAACAGAAGCTCAGACAAGTCTGTACAAGATATTTCCCCTGATCTGGCATCACTCTGTCGGCTCAACTTCTCCCTGGTTACTCAACATGATCATACTGGGTCTGACATACTGTAGTTTGAATAACTACTTCTTAATTAATATGTTGCCGCCTTTTTCAGCTATGCAACGTTGTTCTGTTCCAGGAAAATTTTAAGGATCTTTGGGAAATATTGTATGATTTTTGCTGTTAAAGTTTGAGTAATAAAGTGCTAACTACTAACTTACATGAATTTCCCCAAAGGGATAAGTAAAGTATCTATCTATCTATCTATCTATCTATCTATCTATCTATCTATCTATCTAACTGAGCATCACAAAGTTGAATTGGCTTTATAGATTTTTGGGAACCATAAGGAGAGAACGCCATAATAAGTTGAACATAACACACTCACTTTTGACGAACAATATCTGACCTTTTGATGTGCTGTCAAACAGTTGCCTGTTTGGTCTTCACATTACACATGGAAAAGAATATCTGGCTCTTTATGTGCTAAATGCTCCATATGTTCACTGGCTACTTGCTAACCTTGTCCATCTATAATTTGGTGCTGGACAGCTTTGAGTTGGTCTTTAAAAAAAAAAAAAGAGCTGAAGGACACTGAAAGGCTCTGCAGGTGGATGATATTTGACTGACTTTGTTATTACAACTGAGCTCTTGTGTAATTACACATTGTTTGTATATTTTGTAAGTTTCATCATTTACAGTATCATTATTAAGAGCTTTGACCTGCAATAACTTAGATTTTGGCCAATCAGGAATAGTGAAGTTATAAACACAACATTAACACGGCATCAACTTTTGGGTTGATATATCAAACTAGTTCGCAAATAGTTGCAACATACATTTACACAAGATTTTGGATGTCATGTTTCTGGCTAACTGATTGATGTAAGTGCAATATTCACTCTCATTTTAGCCCTGTTTTGTTCCCCAACAACTCCTGAGGGAATATATCAAGGTCTTTAGCTGCCAAATGCTATGCTATATTTATGTATTGGTGCTGAACAGCAATGTACTGTGTATTTTTAGAGCTTTATCACTGAAAATAACTAGTCTACAGGGTGGTAATAACTGTGAATGAAAACAGTAAAGTTGTGAGCTTGAAAACCAAAAACAGTCTGCTGAAAGTGGTTAAAAGACCCCATAATGCTAAAAGGGCAACTGCAGGTACTGTCTGTGTATCCCAAAACCTAATTTAGATTATTTGTCTGTGCCACAGAGCTCCACTGTTATACAAAAACTATTAAAACACATTAATGTTACAGTGGCTGACATGATTCTTCATTACAAAAATATGGACATGCTAGTTTACTTACAAACAGTTGCATAGACTGATAATGGCGATGGTTGGTGACATTATCTAATTTCAGTATTTAATCATGTTCCTCTCCCAGTGATTTATATCATCCAACCACAGCTATCACACAAATTTTAGCACTTCTCCAGACTGGGTCTGACTCTGGCCAGATTAAGAGCGAGAGGACTCTGAACATGACTCACCCAGCGTGAGTCCAGCCCCCAGCATGTAGGTCCACACAACAGACCGGCCCCGCTCCATGAACACCAAACTAGTCTCTCCTGGCACTGCAGTGTTTCTCACTTACTTACTTTCCTCCCATCACACTGCCAGCAGCTCCGCAACGAGGACTCTGCACACTGAAAAACAGGAGACCATTCATCCTGTCAAACGTTAAACAGATTTAAAGAGCATGAGCAGAGGGTGCTCAAGAATGACTCAGTTCAGTGGTTAGATTTCATCAGAATAGGTTCCAGGCTCATGAAACCAGTTTCACTACAACATTTTCATCACCATGGGTGTGTACTCACAGCTTTTCTGCTTGCAACACAGCAAACGCTCAACCAATATGAAATGTAGCAGTTTGTCCAAACTCAGACACTGTCACTTTCTAAATTGGGTGTTGTGGGTTTGAGTGAGGGAACAGGGTGATGGTCACTGGTTCTTTTATCAAAATTAGGCTCAGACCTTGGAACTTCAGCGGTGTGAGGATAAAGCTCACCTACGTGTAAGATCATGTTGGTGCTACTGACATGAAGGAGCAGTGCCAGGTTTTCCATCTATTTAAAGCCAAAATGTGAAACATGGGGGGCGGATGTCTGAATAGGTGTACCTGCAAAATCTAAAGTGAAAGCTCTGCAATAAATCCTGCCTTTATGAAGCTTATAATGTTCAGATTGTGGTAACCCTGAGTGAGAGGTGTTGATTGAACTGCTGTCGGTTTAATGACGGTTTTATAACACACTATAATGTAGTTGTAGGCAAATGTAAGTGTGTTATTCATCAGCAACTATAACTTCTCATGTGGGCACCCATGGAGGCAGGTGTATAAACAGATGAATGACAATATAGTAAAACACACTTAATATAAAACATGTCTTCACATGAGATGTCAAAAACATCCTCATATCTGCGCACAAATAGCTTACATCATAAACCATTCATTAAATGTTTATATAGTGCTAATGAATGCTAAAGCAGTGCTGCCAATGGAAATATACTGAGTGACATTTCTTATATTCTGTCACCCTGTACAACTTTAAATCAAATCACAAAACCACACACACACACACACACACACACACACACACACACACACACACATAAAACCACCAGTGAAAATTACTACAAATTTGAATCGATACCTGTTTTACACAGTGTCAACAAACCTGAACAGTTCAAGCGTGGGAAAATGGAAATACATAAGTACCTCAATATCAATAAGTAATAGTACTTCAGCTGATGTACTTGAGTTACTTTCCACCACTGATTTAGTATTCAATTGCATTACATTGTAAAGGTGTACATAATAAGGTGTCATATCCTGTACACTTTTTATTGGTCAGCCCGTTTCCACAAGGACACAGAGCCGATGGTGAAGTCTTAACATCTTGTTTTCTGTCCAGTAGTTCAAAACACAAAGATATTTACATTGTATAGGCTGGAGCCGATAAACAAGTAAACAAGTAAACAAACAAGTAAACAAACAAACAAACAAACAAACAAACAAACACCAACAACAATAACAATAATAATAATAATCATAATCATAATCATAATCTTTATTGTCCACAAGTTTAGAAATTTGCTTTACAACATATAGTAGTAATAAAAATGAAACAAACTATTAACTGATGATCAATCGATGTTGCCAATCAATTTTCTGTCACTCAACTAATCGATTAATAGACTAATTGCACCAAAGAAAAACACAAAAATCAAATGGTAAAAAAGTTTGGGATTAGTAGAGTTGCTGTTAATTCCCCACACAATAAAAAAATAAATCTCTAACAGAACCATCATGTTTAGTGTTTGCGGATGAATGTTTATATTCTTCTTGTCTATAGGAGAAAAGACCATAGATACACATTTTAAGAACACACATCTTTCAAGTAGCTAGGAACTGCCTCAAGTCTATTTCTTTAAATTAATCGTTGCTTTTCACATTAAACTACCGGTGTATTTAACGCTTTATTACCAGTGCCAACAATTGCACAAGAGTTTCAGAGATAAAGTCGCACGATGCAGTTCAAAGATGTGGCTTACTCATGAAAACACATGGGTGGAAAATGTTTGAGGCAAAATATTTCGTCCACTTACCGGTGCGAGCTGGTAACAACGTGCGTCTCACCGAGTCTTCAGACAGCGAGCATACAAGAGCAGCAAACCCCTCCGCTTTAGTAAACACATCTGTTCCGCCCCCCTGTCTCTCAATGCCCCTGTCCGGTCTCTGTGAGGTTTCCTTACTGGGGTTCGAGGTCCCCTGGAGGGTCAGGGAAAAGATTCCCTCGGGAATCGTTGGAATGAGGATATGATTTCACTTTCATTGACATTTACACAATAAAGAAATCTATAAAAAGGGCAGAAGGCTTGACTTTCTCCACTTTCAGCACTGCACACAGTTAGAGGGACAAAATGTAAAATGATGGGCCATGGTCTAAACTGGATTTAAGGACCATATTAAAGAAAAACACACATGGACTCCAGTGTCTTTTCCCCCTTTCATTTGAAAATTATCATTCATATTTCAACATTTCACTGTGGAGCTGACTCACTCCTGCCTGCCTGATGTTAACAATGACTAAGAAAAACAATTAAAAAAGTGAAGGATGTGGCTACAGGATGTGTGCTGCAGGGTGTCTCAATGCAATTTCATCTGCTATCAAAAATACCTCCCTGGTTGTTTGTTTTATTTCATGATCCAACTGTGACGTTGCTACAATCAGGCAAGTCATCTTGTTCATTATTACTAATGGGGCACATGAGCACAATGGTAGCTATTAAAAATGCATTATACACTTAACACAGGTGTGAGTAATGTGTTCAGGCGGTTTTTGATCGATGTCTCAAAACCACTTCCACTCTAACCAGCTTTATTCTAAACATTTCCTGACAAGTTGGTGTTTCCAAAGTATACCAAAGACTTGAAGAGGTTGATCTTCATCATAATTGGGCAGAAGATAAATTGTAGTTTGGTCACAAGTAAATACGATCATACACAGTATTCACATAACAGCAAATAACAGGCCTTTGTCATTTTACATGGAAAAAAAACTTTATCACAGTAACACTCTTGGATGAGGAAAAGGAGAACAATCAACACCTCTCTGTGGACCAGACACATGGCGTCATCGTTCCTACTTTGAGCTACACTTGCGTGGCAGAGGCACACAGAGTTGCTGTATCCGAGGCGAGGGACTGGCAGAGCGTGCAGCCTGACTGATGACGTATGGGTTGTATCCTTCGAACAGAGCCTTCCTCTCTTTAGGAGTGGACAGCTCAAGAAGTCTCTGGCTGGCTACATAGCTTCTCGCTGCTCTGGAGACGGGCCAGCACACTGAGCGCTCTCCTTCGAACTTGGGGTGGTCGTGCTTAGGGGCTGAAAAGAAAAAGTAATCAAACTGAGGTCAAACAGCAAAATAAACCCGTGGTGATGCCATAATAAAATAAATATAATTTTTAAAGAATAGATCCACATTTTGGGTAGAGGTAGATGAGAAGATCAATGCCATTTTTTGTGTAAAGCTATAGCCAGGAGACTTTTAGCCTAGCTTAGCACAGTGACTGGAAAGAGAGGGAAACAGCTAGCCTTCAGTTTTTGTGTGGATTAAAAGAACAAGATATAACGTCCTAATTAGTGAGCTTTAGAGGAGCCAGTAGGCAGGTTTTCTTACTTCACAGAGAGCCACACTAGCTGTTTCCAACTGTTTCCAGCCTTAGTGCTAAGCTAAGCTAACCATCCCCTGGTAGTAGCTTCATATTTAACATACAAACATAAGCTTATGATGAAAATAAGTGTGTTTCCCAAAATATTAAACATAAAAAAAAAGTCAGACACGTTGCACTATTGACAGACTAACTTACTGGAAAGCAGCTCTATGTGTGCTGATGCTTTGCTGGGCAAGTGGGTCATGGATACAGGTTTTGACTTGTGGCCTGAGCCCTCCAGAACCTGCCTTCTCTTTGGCTGAGCGAGCTGGCAAATCCGTGAGGTGGCGACTGCCGTCTGCGTCGCTCTGCTCAACTGCAGTCACATTTTAGGTCAGGGTGAGGATTGTATTAAATACAAAAAAAGGGCACAATATCAGACATGAGCTCTTAGGAATCAATCAAACAAATGAAATTTTGATTAATTCCACTCGGCCTTCATCCAGCCGCATAGAACATAACATGCCAAGCACTTCCAATAGCGACTGAACAAGTAAGACTGAGGATGACATTGAAATATTTTTAGCCACGCTAGCAGGAATAACACTGTCTGTCTGATGACCCGCCACATTGGCTGCAGTCTTGCTGAATTGTGAGAAGTATAAGTATTCAGGGCAGTTTTAAGAAAGTTATACCACTGATAAAACCTTGTTGTCAGCGTTTATCATATTTTAGTAAAGTGAAACTAGGTTGTTACTCATATATTCCATGCATTAATTCAAAAATAAAAAGATTAAGTTGCCTTAAAGTTAAAGTTTTACATCTTGTTTTCATTCAGACATATCTGAAAGTTGGATCTAAAACTTGTAAGATGTACTTATTGCTAAAGGGACATGTGCAAAACCAACAATACCTGATACCAAGCTTGAAGATTACAACACAGTTGTTATCACTTGTACAATCAGTAAAAATAAAAAAACTGAAACCACAGAGGGCAAAGCGACAAAAAAAACAAACAACTATTGCAGCAATAAAAACCAACTAAGACAGGCTCACAGATAATCTTTAATGACATTAAATTTAGTTTGCATACTTTTTAAATATGTGCCACTGTGGCCTCATGCCAGCTTGTGATCCACCGCATACACAGAACTTTCTCAGGAAATGTTGTGTGTGTGTGTGTGTGTGTGTATGTTACGCACAGCGGCCAACAGTGGGCGGTCTGGCTGCCAGCCAACTGCAGGAACCCGAGGTTGAGCAAGGCTATGCAGCCGCTTGGATGGAACAGCCCTCAGAGCCCATTCACTCACCTCCCATATGGGAGAAAGTCTGTGGAAGGAGAGAGTAACAGGTAGAGCAGGAGAAAGAAAGGAAGAGGAGAGGAAGTGGGGAAATGAGAGCATGAAAAAAGAGTAAACAGGAGGGAAGGAGGCAGGAAGGCAGATAAGAGCAAAAGACACAAGATGAGGATAAAAAACACAGAGGAAGAAGGAGATGATTATTTAATAAGATTGTATAGGTACCTTGTGGAGTAAAACTGTTTCTGTTTACATGTATTGTTACTCACCAAAAACAAACTGTGTAAATCTTTGAGGTCTAAAAACTCGTTGAAATGTATTTCCTTCCTCATAAAACATCTGTGAAGCTGCTTTTTGAGAAATATTTTAAACGCTGCACCGTTTACATGCATGTTTGCCAGCTTGGGATCCCATTTATAAAGGCTTTACTAGAGGTCAAAAACTCCACAGGGTCCCTTTAATGAGATGACTATTTTATCAAATTCAATACTAAAACTTTGGTTTGGTTTAGTGATTCTGATATATCCATAAAATACAACATATTAGACTGTCTGAGATAGAACCGCAAATGTCTGAAATTCAGCGTCTGACATTAAAAAAATTCTTGCATAATTGCATGTAAAAGCTGGTGTTCGGTTTGTGGCTGCAACAAACAAATTAAATGTGAAAATTCTGGAGGAAGTGTTCACGGTAGCTTAACACTGAGGAAAAAGGCAATGTGGTACACCTGACATGACTCTTCCTGTACTGATGGAATTAGTGCTGTGGGAATGAATAATATACTGAATTTATAAACACAGGATGAAGAGTGAATCACATGTATGATCGATCATTTTTTTATAGAAAGAGGACAAGGTAAAAAGTGTAAAAGGTGCCCAAAAAAGAAAACACACATGCATTAGTAATTAGCCATCGGCATTATTCGGCAGTAATAATAGTAGAACTTATTATATTTACGTGACTTGAGTGTAGAGCTTCTTAGTTTTACACAGCTCTGACCAGCGAGGGGTTAACTCTGTGAAGAAAAACAAGGATGCAAAGTGTCACAAAAAGAAAACAGCTCAGGTCAGGTTGTAAGTGAAGGAAAAAAGTGAGAGATGTACCAATTTTAGTGGTGGATCCGGTCTTCTCAGGTGGCAGCTCATCCAGCCAGTAAACAGAGCGACTGGAAAATAGAGAGACCTAATCAGAGAAAAAGAGGACAATGGAGAGACAGAGACAGAGAGGAGGAGGAGGAGGGGGTCCATCAGGCCTACCGGTCTGGATATCTGAGTCGGTTGGGTTTGGGTTGGGCAAGCTTATGCGTCTGAGTTGCCATGGAAACAGTTGGCACTGTTGGGGAAAACAGAGCACATTGCAGACTGAAGAAAATGTTTTGTTTCACAAATCCAGAAATTAGCAGAAATTAACTAACATGTAAAGCAGCTGGCTTACTTTTATATTTGTGGACATTGTGGGTTATAATGCAACCGGAGAGAACATAATGGTTGCTATTCAAGCCAGACAGGAAACAAGTAGTTGATTAATTGATTGACAGAAAATACATTTTGATTATCGATTTAAGTGTCTCTCCATCCAGAAAGCCTTTAACTTGAATCTTCTGCGTACGTACACACAGAATGGACATCTTGTGTCAAGTTACAGTATGTATTTACATAATAACAGATTCTGGATTTTTTTTTAATGAGGGAGAATTAGTAGAAGTAATTTTTTAAATAATCTTGAAATATTTTTTGGTGGAAAATCCACATCAGACATATGGTATAATTTAAACCAGATTATGTTTCTGTGTCTTCAATTGTTTAAGTCATCTATTAGAAATGTTAATGTTAATGTGAGCACTTGTTTCTTTTTTTCTGAATTATGTCACTGTGAATATGTAAATATGTTTGTGGTTGGGACTGTTGTATATGTTTATTGTGAAAACAATCAGGCTTTATTTACTAAACTGTCTAAAATCTTCCCATGTAGCCTACTACACTCCATTGGTACAATACAGTGTGATTTTTACCCATCAAAAACTTTGGTTCATTCTAATTCTTTTTTAATGTAGGTCACATCCTCCAACAACAACAGAAACCAACCACACAACGGATTTAATCTCTAGCTGGTTACATTAATAATCCATAACTCGCTCAATACACAAACACCACAGATATTTGCTGGACTTTAATTTATAACGATACCTTTTTCGTTTCATTCTACAATGTTTACCTGTCCTGCACCTGCAGTTGTCGTGGGGACACCTGCCGGTTGCTAGGGTGTCAGGTGACGTATAAGGGGCACAGTATACCAAAGATCGTCTCTGCGCAGAGTGAGTCAAGATGGCCAACTCCACCTTCCTGTGTCCTGCAGTAAGGTATTTCTCAGTCAGTCATTCAACCATAAAAGAAATAAAACCTCTTGGGCAACCGATACCAAACATCCACACTTCCTTCCTGTACTGACAAGTCTTCTTTTATGTGTTGGTATTTTTGCTCCAGAAATCATGTGTCAAGAAAAAGTGGCAGAGTGAACTCTCTCCTCTCAGATGGATTCAGATGACAGTGACATTCATCTTGAGATTTTAATTGAGGGATGTTGGTTGAAAAGTTCTTTCATTCTTCAACCTTTATTTAACTTATAAAGTGTGGCCCTATGTAATAATAAAAATAATAACAACATTTAGACAATAAAAAACGTCCGAAATTGCCATCACAACTGCCTTAACCCAAAAAATCTAGTGGACTGAAATATATTTTTTCAATCAGGAAAGAAATCAGGTGATCTATAAATGTGTAATACAATAAAATAAAAACATTTAAAAACCAAGGGGAGTTTCCATCAATCACAAATTACAACAGGAGGAAATGTTAAACAAGAGCACAAATTTAACAGCAGCCATTTAAGAGCACAATATCTTTCTGTGGCTGTGGGGGATTCAGTGTTAAATTTTCAGCTATCTTGACTAGTTATTATTTCTTATCTCTTATAAAGGTGGTTATGTTTGTCAACAGGATTATGCAAAAAGTCTGAACTCATTTACACCAAAGTTGTGTGGTTCCAGTGAAAGGGTTGGAAGATAGGGCATTTGAATAGGATGTGAAAAATCAGGCATGTTAGTGGTGTTGAGATAAATTTACTGCCGATCCAGATAATCTGGATCTGACAGATGTGTGGAGGAGGTATGCGCTCTACTGAGTGCCATTCTAGTTACATAACGTTTTCATCTGTACTAGAGGGCTGGATGATGCATACTTGTTCAAGCTTGCAATCCCTAGTCCCAAATCACAGCATACATGCAAGATCAGCACCTCTCTCTTTTTTACCTTTACTTACCTCACCTCTAACAGTAAAGAATAAACATGACATAATTTAGATTTCTCTGACAGGCCAGCAGTTTTAAAGAACCTAAATGTATCAATCTGGCACCAGGTTGTAAAGGTGTTATGTGACATTTATGATGAAGCCCACTACGTGCAGTGAAAATCAAAACTATTAAATATAAAATTGATAAATCAACATGGAACATAAATCAACAAGGCAAAGACCATTTAAAAACAGGCAACACCTTTATTTTAAACAGATATTTAAAACCTTATAAAACAGCACAGTAAATAACCTACCAAAGCTTCTTTAATAATCATGATCACAAAGCCACAAGCTTTCAATATAATACTGTAGTTATTATTCTCTAAACTAGTATTGCAGGAGCCTGTTATTGTGTGAAGTTAAGAAGTCATGTCTGTCACTTTCTGTTTTTCCACACATTAACATGACGAACTGAGGAGAACACTGCAGGACTCGCAGTTACAGCATCATATAACATTCACAGGCCTCTGAAGCACACAGTGAAACCCAGAGCCAACAGACAGCCAGGGTTAAATATGTAGTGTTTGGTTGGTATTGTAACTAACATTTAAAGGATAATAACAGTGTTGCTTGTAGTTATAGTACATTTTTACTGCATTTTCTACCATCTATTTCTAGTTTAACTCTCCGGGCACCACCTCTGTTATTTTGTTTGATCTTTGTGTAATTTTAAAACATAAAATTTACATAAAAATAACTGCAGCCTTGGCTGAGAAAAATCAACCTGGATTAATGGCACAAGCTTAAGCCAAAAGGAAACACCACTATTATCCTTTAAGTCACCCGGTAGTACAGCCTATCTCTGCACTACTGTAACAGAGACAAATCTCCATGCAATATTCTGTAAATTCTACTGTCTTGAGACACCGCAAGACTATAGTTTTTTTTTTTTTCTTTTTCTCTTTTACCTAAAAGTACTCAGCTATCAATCTTAATATCAATGATGGCTGATTTTCAGGAGTCCGTGGTATTAAAATACAGGAATTTCAGTGATCATACCAGTTCACAGGCATAGGTTCATGAGGCACTGAGCTCTGTTGTTAAGCTGCCAGTGTAGTTACTGGGGTTATGATAAAAAGAAAAGGAAAAGATGGCACCAACCAGTCCAATCTCTTGTGAGTAGTGCAGGTAGAATGGCAGTGAAAAGGCATGTAGGAAAAGGGGCCAGAAAGAGGGAAATATTGAGTATATATTGCATTCAGTAGCACCAGGAGGAAGAGTTTGTGGTTTGTCAGTGTCAGAGGGTCTGCACTATGACAGGATACAGCAGGGACATGTGCTCAGCGCCTCTGATTGGCAGCTTGTGTGTAGTGTAGTAGTGGATGACCTCGGGAATGGTGGAGAAGGGGGGGCTGTTCTCCCCGAGCACATAACGCCCGTCTGCAGACTGAGTGAACTTCATGTGCATGAAGCCTTTGCAGCTCCTGAGAAAGAGAAGGACAGGAGAGGTGAGACTTTGGTTCAATCAAAGCTGGAAGCTCAAAGTGCATCTGTGGGGATTGTAAAGCTGTGTCAGACTAAGCGTTGACAAAAACACAAAAAATTCTTGGTATCTTGCAGATAAACGTGGCAGCGAGTAACTAATCCCATCTGGAAGAAACATGTTTAACTGTATTTCTGAAACAATTACGGTGCACTATTCGCACGCACAATTCTGGGAATAGACAAGGAAATGACATAAGTTGGGACATCCGTCTCTCGTTACGATCACAAATTTGTATGCAATCTCTTTCTTACTGTAACACCCATGCTTGGCTCCAAAACCCCATTCTCCAATCAGATTTCTTATTTGAAAAACTGGGCTACATTAGAGCGTTTCAAACATATAATGAAAAAGAAACAAACAGTGAAAAGAAAGTGATACATGGGGAGTTGGCATTTAAAGAGTAATTAGTATTTGTGCTCATCACTTTGATGCAATGAGGGAGTTGCTAGTGTTATCCCATCTCATTATGAGTCTTTGATCACAGCTGGTCTTTTATAGAACTTGGCATGTGTTTATCAAACTGCTTAATGTTACAAACCATTGCGTAACTGATGTGTTCAAACCTGAAAGGGCAGCATAACAAGGCAGCACAACATTTACATCAATCAAGTGCTCCAGCTTTCTCCTCAAGCTGTACTTGTCTGTTTATTTTTACACTAACTTTACTAAAAGTTCAATTTTGGATGTTAGGTCACTTTTGCTGCTCAGACTTTTTTCAATGTCTTTTTTTTTTGGAATTTGAAATGAAGAGTGTGAGGGACCAGTATTAGTCTGGACAAACAAAACATTATCTGAAGCCATATGTATAATTCAGAACAGTTTTATTAGCTTGCAGATGTTGCCTTTACAAGGCGTTGTGTACACAGGCATGTAAGTGGTGAAAATGCTCTTTTTGCAGTCCTCACTAGTGCAATGCTTTGATTTTGTTTGCACTCTCTTCCCATGCATCTTTTATGTCTGCTCTTGTTAATTTGATACAAGTCCTTTTATGTTGCTTTTTTTTGATAAAAACCCTCCTCCAGCAGCAGATTTTAATTCCTGCTCTAGTTTATAATTTTCATTTCAGCCAATTCCATATAATTTCGTCAACATTTATATGGTCGGTGGCTACTTGCTAAATGCTACAGGAGATATTAAAGATCTGACTAGCTATGTGGTTAACCACATGTACGCTCAGATTGATAAATGTGTCTTATTTTTCACTCCTAGTACAAAAAGGTGTAATTCTCAGAACTCTGATGAATGTGGACCCTGGACTCAAAGTGAATACACTGAGATTTTAGTAAAATCTTCAGTTAGTGATCTACTTTCTTCTTTGTGACATTAACAACCAGACAAACGCATTGTACTCCTGCATTGAATGATTATTTGATTTTGTCTGGCTACACGGCACAGTTCAGTTCAATCCGATCAAATTACAGTGCTCCACTGCTCACTGTGTCAAAGGAGTACACATATGTGAGTCAAGAACTATACCCAGCATGCGGATGATCTCTCTAAAAACAGCTGCTTTCATGCTGATTTTATTCATGCAGGCTACACACTGTTGCAGAGAGGAAAATGGGGGATGGGGAGGGAAAGAGCCCCGCAGATAACATGGGTGGATGGGAAGAGAGAGAATGGGAAGACGGTGAACAATTAAAAGTTGCCTCAAGGCTCAAATCCGAAAATATTCTATAACCACCCAGAGACTGCAATAATACCCAAAAAGGCAAAAACTGGATCAGATAATTTTGGCAACAGCGCAGTATACTGGGTTAGAATTTCCCTTTAAGAGATTGCAATGATATTTCAAATTAAGACAGTATGAGGAGAATGGTTTTTGATACAGTCTGTTAAAAACAGATTCAAATTCAGCACTGAAATGCTACCAACTGGTACACAGATGAGAAAGTCGAGATAAATGGCCCAGAATTTGTTCCAAGTGAAACAAGAGTGTGACTGGGAGTGTCTACCTGAGTGAGAGCGAGTAGTCGCAACGGCAGGTCTGGCTGTTCCTCACCAGGTAGGAGCTCTCTTTGCACAGAGTCAGTAGAGTTTCTGCCTCCAAGCGGCTCAGGGCTCCATGGTACCATCTGCAGGTGACCAGAAGGAGACATGGCAGAGGACAGATTTATCACCATGGACTGGCCTTTTCTTCTCGTCACGCTGTCCTGAACAATAGTTCATGTCATACAGTCCTATTTATAGCATCATGTTGCTTCTTTATTCTGGATGTCTGTGGCTGAAACACACTACAACACCTACCCCATTACGTTTTCTTGTTAACAGACAAGTATAATGTTTACACCAAGAATTAATCACCAAAACATATTGTGTGAATCTGACAAATGTGATAAATATTTTTCTTTTCTTCCTTTCCAAAAATATTTTTTTCTGTTTACAGTTCTCCACTAATGGCAGAGCCTTGCCTTTACATGTTGCCATTTGCAGAGTGAACATGGTAATTAATGTATAAAAGTAGATTTAACACTATGCCTCTGCCAACCAGTCAACTTGCAGTTTACATCCATGTCTGTCCAGACTCATAATATATGTTGTGAAATTTGAAGGAACTTAATAAAAGATATTAAATGTATTTTACCACCAAACTCTAATCAGCTCGTCTTTGAGTCCAGGTGGGTGCTTGTGTCAGATGTAATGAAATTCTCTAGGTGTGGAGGCATAATGAAATTTTTCCTCTATGATTCATGTGTTTCATCTGTGACTGCTGTCATTTCAGAAAGTAAGCTTCCTTTAATGTGAATAATGCATAGTCAGTTTCTATAGTGAAGGAAACGGCTCAATAACCTGTGCTGTATGTAAACAGTAAATGAGGATGGTAGGAGCCTAAATGTTAACTGCTTACACTTTGTCTCAGATTTTAAACAAAACCATGAAGAGACATTGTAATAAAACATACTAGAGTCAGCAGCCACACAGAGTAAGATGCTACTAGAAGAAATAAAACAAAGCACTCCCAAAAGAAAATAAATCTAATACTTTGCTCTGATCAATAACAGACTTAAGTAATTTCCTCTGTATGCTCAAACATCAACATGCTAACCAATAAAATCCAGTTTGTCCCAATAGGCCTGAAAAAACATCTTGCCACATTTTCGTAATTTGCACACACAGTGTAGTGAAAAAAAAAAAACATGGGAAGAAAATCAAAACCATACACATAGAACACAGATGTCTACTTACACTTGTCTCTCCAGAGGCAGAGATGGATCCACCCTTTCTCCCAGTAAAGGAGGAGTGTCCCCGACCAAACGGAGAGTCGTTGAGTCTGCCGCGGTAGATGTGCCGCCTGTCTTGGTGAGCCTGGTCTGCTCTGTCTGAGCTCGAGAGCGCTCCCTTTCTGCACCTTCAAACTGAACTATGGCCAGACAACGAGACACAGCAGATTAGTTTAAAAAATGAGTCTAAGACACATTTTGTGCAAAAATATATTCATAAAAACAGACAATTTACCTGCTAGAGCTTTAGAGATATTGTCCTTCTTCCACTCCCACGGCTGGTCGTATTCATCAGCGGGCCTCTCATCATCCTGTGGGAGCCTGCTCTCCCTGCTGTCGATCGGGCCAAGTCCGCCCTCAACCTTCTGAGGTTGCTGTTGTGCTGGTGGAGCAGCTCGGTGGTGGAGACGAGTCCTCTCCTCGTACGGGTTATCATATAACTGGCCGGGATCTCCACTTCCAGACCTGTTAGTCATCATGCTGTGCTGCAGTTCTTCAAAGAAAGCATAAAGAGTAAATGATGCAAGCAATACTGAAAAAGTACAATAAAAATGAAAATATCCAGAGTGAGTGTTTTAAATCCTGTTATCTGAATTATTATATCCAGTGAAATGCCAATGTCATTACATATATTCAGCCAAAATTTTCACTCCCCACCATGAATTCCCATCACTATAAACAGTATTTTGCAGTATACTGCAACCATTTAAGAGAATATATCATACCTTTTTTTCCACCTTGATATTCAAAGTTTCCAGAGAAAAGTAAAATTGTCCACTATTCAAGTGTGCAGTCAACACATTTACAGGATTTACACTGGTAGTCAGTCTGTTCCTACTTCACATGATTTCTATGATTTAAAAAAACAATGTTGAAAGGTCACACTTAGAGATCAAGGGTCAGCAAGTGAAGGTAAATGTTCAGGATACATTATGTTACTGTTTAACTGTCTCTATAATACCTTTAAATTTAGAGCTAACTAACGGACTAGTGAGAGATATAGATCTTATAATAAACCTGAGATGATCCGCTGGGCCTCGAATGGCTCCATGTAGCTGCAGCAGTCTGTTGGTGCAGGTTTGGGTTCCCAGTTTGGTCTGGCTCTTGGGTCTGGACGGGCATCAAATGGGTCAGAGTAGTCTGTGTCAGTGTCCGATGCTGCTGGGGCAGAGGGAACCACCTTAAGAGGGAGAGAAACAAATGGTATAACAATTCAGTGTGACAACATGTAGGATTTATTTGCGTTGAGGGGAACAGCTAGGAATATAACAGTGTGTTTAGGTGTATGTGTGAGAAACTGAGATACAGGGCAGAGGCAGAGGATAACAGGGAAAAAAACAGCAGAGAAAATGAAGCAGAAGACCAAAACAAAGCTTACTGGTTCTTCTTGAACAGTCACAGGACTCAAGGGGATTTTACAGCGGCCAAACTCCTGAGAATCCACTTTAATTAGTCTGTGTTTGGGAGACACAACTTTCACCTGCAACGTAACATATCAAAACAAAACACTGTCAATAAAAATTCAAATATCACTTCAACACTAATCTTCTAAATCATGAGAGCGCTAGCAGAGGTCAACATGAGCTCAATATTTATAATCCAAAAATACATTTATCTAGTGAAACATGGTACAAGGAACACAACACACTGAAGTCATGCACATGACTGTAAAGGCAGGTCATACCTCCACACCATTGGGCAGCACTGAACCAAATGCAGGGAAAGTGGGAAGGCTCACTGTGGCACTACAGGAGCTGAAACTGCCATTCTGGTGCTCTTTATCTGTGTGTTGGTATGGGTCCTCAAAATCTAGCTCTTTCTGAGCTCTATAAGCCCTCAAAATCTCACTCTCACTGTAATCTGGCCTGGGGGGCTGTGGAGGGTCACGCCTGCTGCCAAAGTTCAGGTAGTCCTTCAGCCACTTTGCCATGGATCTGGGGAAAGAAATGTTAAAACAGATTGCATTGAATAATTTTGGATAACAGGCTGTGAACACAAAAACAAAAAGTAGCCTTGATTAGGTATTTTATTCAATTATTAATTATCATCATTTCAACCATTTATAGCCTCGAATACCAAATATTTGCCTTTTCAGCTTCATAAAAGTAAAAAACGTGTATCAAAAATTATATAGCTGAAGTATAATGGCACTAGGTCAGACAGACAGCAATTTTGAGACTGTGATAGCTTGTAACCATTTCTGATCATTTTTGATATTTTAGACACTACCTAACTTAGATGCAACATAAATCGAGACCCTAAAGATCCAAGGTCTATTAGGGCAGTCGGAAAGCAGTCTGGCTCTGAAGCTAGTCTGGCTGAAGTCCTATGAAAGCTATTTATCTCAGGTAGTTTGCTAGCTAAGTGGCACAACTATACCCGGGAATTGTGGTCAGATTGAGGTTTTTCTTTGCTGACTAAGTTGTTAAATAATCAACAGGTCCCGTGAATGTACCTTCGTATGCTTAACTCTGATAAGTTTTCCCCTGGGGTAAAGCAGCGAGTGGGTTTTTGACAAATGCTAGACGGCTAAGCTAACTAAGTAAGCAAATCACAGACAATCGCTAGTTAGCATTAGGGGTAAATCAGGAGGTTTCAATCAATTACCTATTCACATCAGTGAATTAAGGATAGCATTAAGTTCCAAACTATCCATACCGATTTTAACAGTTGACTGAAATATGACGTTGTGTCACTTATTTTAAAAAATCCGCTTAATGTCATATAAGTCGTACAATTGACCATCACCAATCTGTAAATATGCCAAAGCTAAGTTAGCTAAGTCCAGCTAACATCGAAGCGTCTTAACCGTTACCTGCTAACGTTACTTCTTAAAGCTCACCCTCTTTCTTTGCATTGACGGTTCCTGGTTCCAGTTATGTATGTCTGGTTACCATTCGGCGTTTCGCTTTAGCTCTATTAGGCCTAAAAATAAAACATTGTTATCCCTGAAATCCGTCCTGCTTTCGAGGCAAGCAGGTCAGTCAGCTAACGTTAGCTGGACCAGACCAGAGCAGACCGTAAGGGCAGACAGTCTCCGACACAACACTGGCTGGCACGGCGGACTGGCTTAAAGGGGAGTGGTGACATATTTTTGGTGGGTCGACATTAAAGCTTCAGATGTGTGGTAAGCCTTATGAGAGCTGCCAAATACACACATCAAAGCTCTTTGTCTCACACAGTAATGTGAACAATGCCATTATTTGTACACTATCATAATCATGCCCAATGCAGAATACTGTTTTTTTTTCCACCAGGTCTGGTCTACCTTTAAGAGTGTGGCGCCCTCTTGTGGTCAAAGCTGGGAAATACTGTAAATACTGCATTTCGTTTAAGCAGCAACATTTAGGATATTAATATTGGTGCTTTCACACTCAGTGAGAATTCAGAAAAAAAAAACTTGGTGATAGTGATATTAAGTGTTTCCTATGCAAATCTGCAACATAATCAAAAGCTCCTGAAGAAGTAAATAGGTGGACCTGGAGTTGAGATTTTTTTTTTTAAATCACCTGCTGTTTGTATTAACCAAAGTCCCATATATCTAAAAAAACAAATTTTTTTAATTGGGGAGTCAGTTTCACTGCATAGTGTTGTATGATGTACATATTGTAAAGGCCCCCGGGAACATTTGTGATCTGCTATTGGAGTATATTGCCTAAATAAAACTGACTTGACTTGAATATTATAAAAATACCCATATTATCATCCAGATCTAAAATGAACAGGAAAATTTCACATGAAAATCACCTTGTCTCCTGCACTCACAAAGAACTTTATATTATTATTTCACATTTACATTTAGGAGAGTAAGAATGTTGTGTTGAAAGATACATTTCAAAAATAATGAGTTAAAGTTAAGATTTAAAAAAAACACTAAAATAGGGTAAATTTGTCTCACAAAAATTCAAACATTAACATTTTTTCTCAGTTAAACAACAACAGATCCATGAACCAGTAGATCTGCAATGAGAGAGTATTTTGGTTTCACTGGATTTGAACAAAAAGACAATACAATTCCTCTGAGCGACTGTCCAACACAATGACTCGTTATCCAGTCATTCCTGTACAGAAAGGTTTTCATAGGGTAGACTGACAAACTACACATGAATTTGATTTCTGTAGAGCATTACAAAAAGGTCCATATCATTATATTCCTTTCTGCATCATTCATACAATTGTGTGTCAGTCACTCAAGTCATCTTCCTCTCATTCACTGTCATTGCTGTCGCTGTCTGAATACGCCCCCAGCAGGCTGAGAGACGATGACCCATCTTGTGTGGTAGGTGTCTTCGAAGCTTTTGTGGAGTCAGCTGTCTCTGATGCCTTTGAATCTGTAAAAGAAGATGCACAATTACAGTACCTTCCAAATCATATGCAAACTTTTAATTAAGGATGGGAACAAGCAGCAAAAGATAGCTGTTTGTCCCAAAAGCTAGACATCCTAAACATAAAAAATACAACAGAGTACAAAAAAATAAATACAATAAAAAAATAAAAAAAATCACATACATGTCTGTGCTTTGGACCACCAATAAATCAAACAAATTAACTAATGTCTAAGATTTCAAATTAATCAGTTCATTTATAGTGTCCAGATACTGATATGTTACCTGTTTGTGAAGTGGGAGCAGCAGTGGCTGCCACTGGACTGGGTTTGTTGACAGCTGCTGTTGGTTTCTTTCGCACTACCAGGGACCCTAGTGCTCCTCTACCACCTAGTGTTCCCACACTCCTCTCCCAGCTCTCCATCTTGGCCCTTTTCACTCCTCCAGCGGAGGCTCCCTGTAAAAAAAAACAAAAAAAAAACACAAGACAATCAAGTATTCCCAGCTTACACCATCCTCTTTAAGTTCTTCTGATCAGTTGTTTATTTTCAATATAAAACTATTGATTAAGTTTATTATAGACTTGTTTGAAATGTCCAGAACAGCTAGTAGTATTCCACATAGGACGCCAACAATAAAATCAAACACTGGCATTTAAGTAAAGTAAAACAGACCTTTACACAATATTTGAATCGGTTTCAAATAATTGAATTTAGTTGAATGTGAGTGGTCATATGTACCTGTGTCTCTGTAGGTTTGTCAGTGGTGAGGATGTCTGTTGGTTTGTCTGTGGTGGGCTTGTTTGACTGTGAACTGCTGCTGCTCTCCTCTTTCTCTGAGTCAGAGTCAGAGTCTCTTAGTCTTTTCACAAGGGCACGATCCAACATCTCCCTGTGAAACAATTTCAGAATTCAATTTTAGCTGGGTTGCTCAGAGTCTACACTGATTATATGACAACACTTATTAAGACAGGGAGAGATTATGCCAAGATGTAGACCTAAGAAGACTGACAATCAAATTATTTTTACTTAATTGTGCGATACAGTTTAACATTTGCTTCACTGCCCTTTGTCTATTTAAACCTTGCTCACTCACTTTGTTTCTCGCTCATCCTCTTCTTTCTCCCGTTCCCTCTCTCTCTTTTCCATCTCTCTGTACTGGTCAATCATTCCCTCGAAGTCCACCTGCGCCTGCCTCTGGTTCAGCTCCTTCAGCTCCTGGAGGTTCTCCAAAACCTCCATCTCCATCTTAGAATCCTTTGTGCGGTTCTCCAACACCTGGTAGAGGATTGGGAAACCATTTCATACATCACGACCAATGGCTGGACACTGCTCAATAACATAACAGAAGCTGATGTTCATACACTGACCTTCATAGGGTTATTCAGTTCCTCCTCTTCTCTCTCCTGCTGGATTCTTTTCTCTTCCTCCTCAATTAGCTTCTCCGCCTGGAAGTTTCGTGTTGCACCGTGCTCCATTGCGTAGTCTGTGTTCTCCGGGTCAGTCTATGATCACATCATGATATATGAAAATGCAAGAAATTAGTTTACACAAAATTCTGAAGATGTCTCTTCCAGAAAATACCACAGACACTGCTCCATACCTTAAGGGCACTTGTTTCATTTCATTTCAGTAAATATATCTGTGATAATCAAATACTCTCACCTTAAAAGTAATCTCAGCAAGACACCGAGTACATTTGATGTAGAAACGGAAGATGGGCAGTCCCATGTACAGCTCATTCTGAACAGTCTCTTTGCGTGCATTGAACTTCTTTCCCTTGTAGATGTACTCGCCACATGTTTTGCACCTGCAAACAACCACAGAGGCAATACTTAAGACACAACAGTCACAGGACTCATTTACAGAGGCCTGAAAGACCTTGTAGCACAGAGGTAACCCTGGTTGGACTGTAACTACAACCAAAATCCAAGAAACTGTTTTTACCTTCAAATGAAATAAGCCAAGCAAATCCCCGCTCTTGTTAAAAGCCAGCAATATCCTTAATGCCTGTACCAAGGATATCTTGGGAAGCAATATTGAAACTGGACTATCACGCTGTAAAGATGAGTTAAATGAAAAACGCACTGACGCACTTGGATAAGACGGACATACCTCATATTGAAAGGAGCCATCAATCTGACCACATACTGTCGATCTTTGGGGAGTTTGAGCTTTGGGATTTTGGACGGATCGAAATCCGGAGGGTAATATTTCTGTGGAAGACAAAACACAAACATGATATACAGAGATGCCCGAACTTGGGGTAAAATCAACAATAACCCAAACCGATGGTCAATGTAGTTTGATTTGTAAGATTTAAAACAAACACATAATGTTCTTTAATAATGTACATAATGTACTACAACTACTGTTAGCTACAACACACTTAGCATCAAAGCTAACCTTTAGCGTGTTAGGGTTCCGCTCATACGCTACGGCTAACTATTTCAAACTTTGCAAAAACAGGAACATTGTTCGCGATCATGTACTTACGTTTAATACTTTTCTTTCGGACATTGTTACTTTTGATGGAAACCCAACGAATAGAAGAAAACGATAGAAGAAACGGGTCTAGGGCTAATTCAGGACCCCACGTGGAGTACACGTAAACTTCCGGTTGTTCCTTCTGTAACATCCGGCCTCTAAAGTACGCTGTTGCACTCCTGTAGGAGAGGCGGTGACTTACAACACTAACGGAAGAAATATAAATAAAAAAATAATTTTACCCTTTTTAATAACATTTTTCTGAGGAAATAAGTCAAAACTGCATGAGAGATGAGAACAAACGCCCAGTCAGGAAAAAAAAAGATTATAAAAACACTATTAAATGAAGGTAAAAGCAAATATTCTATTAAACAGATGCATTGTTATCAATACATAGTTTTCTTTGTGCATAGATTTATTGCATTAACATAAAACATAAAATGGGTAATGAAGTAAAACAAAGCAAGGCACACTATTAGTTTATAAAATAATCAATAGTGTGTCGTTGACAAAAGAATTAAAGTGGCCTACTCCGTGTGGTGAGAATCCAAAGGAGAGAGGGAGTGTTAGAAAATGTTACAACAAATATTTCAGGTCAGGACAGGCACTCCCTACCGAAAAACCACAAAGCAAAAATTGAGAAAATGCATTTAAATCCGCAATTGCAAGATAGATCCCAGATACCCACTGGGAGACATACAGTTTACTCATGGTGATTCTGACAGATAATGCCACTTACTGCTAATTTTAAACCAATACCACCCAGCACCTCGACTATTATGAAATTTAAAGCTTACCTATCTTCAAAGATAAGTAACAAATTATCCACGTTCACAACATCACAAGATCATAGAATGTATGTGCTTAAGACTTCACTAAACCCACATCATATCCATATTGAGTGAAATATCCAAAATCAGAAGCTTATATTATTTTTTAATGGCTGCATCTTACAATTAATGTACAGTATGATCATTTTTCAACTAGTGGATTATTTCCAATTTATGCACTCTGTTTGTTGTCTACCTGTTATTGTCACATCTCCATGTCTCTGAAAGAGCAAATGAATGATATGACCTGCTGTAATGAGGTCCCGATGAGGTCATCTCTTGTGACAGTGTGATATAATGTGCTGAGAGTCACACAAACACACACGCATTTCAGAATATTCATATATCTGCAAGTTTATGAATCTGTTGAAATATGTTTAATGATGATGATGTTCAATGACCATGATCACCATGGTGGAGGAACTGCCTCCCCCAGGGGTGATGTGAATCGTCAGTGACGTGGGGTCTCTGAAATGGTTGGTGTGTAAACATAAGCTTGCCAGCCACACACACATAAACCTTTGGGGATGGTTTAGGTTATTTCAACAAAAGGAAATTGGGTCCTCATTGCAGATTGGTGTCAGCGAGGGTTAACCTGAGGCCTGTTTACAGCTTTATTGAACAGAGGTGACATAAGAAGATAGGCAGAATAGATTAGCAGCAAAACATGGGAGGGAAAAAGGTGCTCTCCTCAAGATGTATGTTAGAGTAGATTGTGTTCAGTTTCAGATTCACAGTTTTATTGGGTGATTCTTTTTCTGTACTGTTTGTGGTGAGTTCTCGGATGCTTTCTGACACATCAAAATTACTCACCAGTGAGTCAGATATATGTTAAACTGAAAGGCTTATTTTGCACACAATAGACCTCAGATTTTTTTTTTAAAATACACAAATTTTTCAGTTTTCCTCTGTTAAACTTAATGTTTTTTCAAAGAGATCTATGGCACAACTGGAATGGATCACAAGCGTACCCCAGAAGAGGAAGATTACTGTGTCAAATATGTTTTATAAAATGCAAATTCACCTTTAACTATCCCTGATATCATCCGGCCCCTTCCTGTTAAAGATACAAAGGTGCCGAGCGGGGTCAACCATGTCAAAGTTTCTATGAATATTTCAGAGGCTCGCTGATGTCAACAGCAGCTGTACAACAGCTATAAAGAGGGGGTGTTCTCTGTGCAAGAGACCTCCAAACCCCACCTAGACATCCACTCACTGAAGAGAAGGACTCCTCCTGTTTGTGTTTCAGCACCATGGTCAGCGTACGGGCTCTCCTCCTCGCGGCCACTTGCTGCTGCGCCTACCTGTGGCTCGCTGGTGCAGAGGACTCCTCGCTGGAGACGCGCTCGATGGATTTCCCGCTGAAAAGCCAACAGGAGAAAGACCTGGTGAGAGATTGTAGAAGATATATGGGTGTGAAATGTGCCAGGTGGATTAATGAAGCATAGTTTGTGATACTCTAATAAAAATGATTTTATAGTACATACAGTAAAGATTTTAAGGATAATGTCATACCCAAACATGCCTGAGATGTTGAGCTTTTAATTTCAAGCATTCTAATGATTTTTCCCTATAATGAACAAGTCTGGTCAAGACATTATTTCCATTCAAAAGCATTTTTCCTGTGTAGATTGACGCGTTGCAAGAAGTTCTGGAGAAGCTGAGGAGCAAGGAGATGCCCCTAGAGAAAAAGCTTGGCTGGTTGCCTTCGGTAAGTGAACATAATTATAAATGATAAAGCGTCTTAAAGGCAATTCTCTGATTTAATAATAAGCTAGTGAATTTGGAAATCCGGGCATGCACGTAAATTTCTTTGTTCCACGTTGGACTGAATTATGATAATAATAATAATAATAATACATTTCATTTGGCAGCGCCTTTCAAAGCACTCAAGGACACTTTACAGAAGATTAAAAACACAATAAAAATAATAAAAACAACAGACAGTTAAAATTATGTATAATTATGTACAAATTACTTGGAAACACCGTTCTCCTCGTTAGGTCTGATCAAGAAAATAAGTCTACAACTTATACCTGCAATTTCATGAATTTATGTTTTCTTTATCTTTCCAGTGTGACGCAGGGGAGCCCTGTGCCGTGCGTAAAGGCGCGCGTATTGGCACGCTGTGCAGCTGTCCCCGGGGGACTTCCTGTAACTTTTATGTTCTTAAATGTTTGTGAAAGTATAAAAAAGAAAACATAGGTGCAGGAAATGACAGAAGAGAGTTCAGGGGTTTGGAATGACAAGAATATGTCCCCTCCTTAATGTGAGATATGGCAGGGAGGGCTGCTGTTGTCATTCTGTTTGTGATGAAAAAATAAAAAATGCAATGTAATATGTTATTAATGAAGGACATTTTTCTTTTATAAACTCGGACTGGGATATGTCAAAATATGTTGAATGTATGTATTGTATAGGTTCAGTGGACAGTGGGTGTCTCTCTTTGTTTTAAGTTATTTATGTGGGGATTTCATATTTTTGTTTGTTGTTTCTGTCTATGAAAGAAGATAGTCAATTGCTTCTGAAAACATTTGTAAGATGATGACGTCAATAAATTAACTTTTAAATTCAAGAGACTGTGTGCGTCTTTGCGCGTGTACGGGAAAGCGAGACCTTGCAAATTTGCAGTATTATGAAAAAATATTTTTTTCATTTCCTCATAACCATCACTTGTTGGTTAATTGCGTTTGATTAAAAAAGTAGGCTAATCACTTTAAGGACATCAATAAATAAAAATATATCGATTCATTTTTCCATGTGTCATCAATAATTCAGCTGCTTCCTACACATTCACTAATGCACGGCTGCATTCCAGCACATCAGCTGTCGTCTCTCTGTAATAAAAGGCGCTGTCAGTGTTTTTTTTTTTCAATGACATCACATCCAAGCGCAAGTTTCCAACATGGCGTCCAGCCGGGTGCCGGAGAGGGAGGTCCAGGAGGGGCCGATGCGCGCTGCGACCGCAAACCTCGACTTCTGCCCCCACAAGTACTCCCTACTCATCATTATCGGAGGGACCGCTCACCTCAAACAGACGGGACACATCAGCAGGGACATTGAACGAGGTACGTTTATTTCCACCCGCCTCTCACAGCTACTGTATGTCATTTTGCTTTTCTCTATGGGCTATATTCCGATTAAAATTCAGATGCCTGCAAGTTCTCGTCGCATAAATCATTGAGGATGTTCCACTGACCCTATTGCGGTGTTTATGTAATTTTATCCACCCTACTGACCGAAGATGCGTCATCTGGCGATGCTCCACCATCAGCATCACCTCACCCCTCTGGGCACGTTATAATTAAAAGCAGTCTGGAGCTGGTGGTTTTGTCTTTCGCATCAGTTTGTCGTTATGTAAGGAGAAGCTTTAGGGGAAATGATGCAGGGCGGACATTCAGTCAACACATAGCCACTTGTAGACGATGTGCCATTACCCACTGTGTGTTTATGTACAGCAGTCACCGTGGAGAGACAGTGGGTAGTAGAGGCAGTTATAATAACGCATTATACAGTCTGTGTTTTACTGTGTGAGTACAGCCATATAGACGTGTATCAGGAAGGGACATTTGAGTGCATAATGTACTATGTAAAAAAGGCTGTAGATAGCTGGGGAAATAGAAACGGAAACATAAGGGCAGATACTGAGAGACATGGTGATATTTATCATCAGCACTGGCCAACCAATATTTCATCACTGCCCGATGACATCAACTTTTCATGAGCTAAGAAAGACAGCAGTGTTTCCAGCTTTGTCCCAGTGCATTTTTAAGGTAATCCGATAGGCTTTTAAATGCTTTATTTAAACGTGTATTTAATAATGCCTCAACTCTCATAAAGAAACACTGAAATCTCCAGTTTATGTTTTTTTCTTTCTTATATATTGTGTCATATGTTGAGATGGCTAATGTAGCCTACATAAAAAAAAACCCATAGCCTATTTGCACAAAATAAAATGTTACATTTTTGTCACAATACAATAACCCATTTCAGAATATTTTAAATCATTACAATGGTTAAACATTGCTAACAGTGTGACGTTTTTAGCAGTAAATCATGTGTATACACTACATGGACAGGCAGCAGTATATTTACAAGTGTTTGGGCGGACTAGAAACCAGGATAGGTGTAATACTGTAGGCACAGTCAAAATGCCCAGATATAGTTCTATTGGATCTGAATTTTCATTGTGTCGGAGGCTAAATTTGATATAAATTTGGTATTTTAATAAAATGTGCTATTTGCAAAGTGAATAATATCTATAGATGATTGAATGTGCATATTACAACTTTTGTTTTGTGAATATTTGGACAGTTATGTATGTATGACAGAGTAAAACCGAATGTTGCACCGTGTGACCAAATGCGTCTTATGTCTCCAGGTGTTCGGTCATGGGACATTGACTTAAAATCCTGTAACCTGAACCTCTACCTGCAAGAATTCCTGTCCCATCACACGGCGTCATTCAAAGGTGCAGGTGAAAATTTTTGTTGATTTTGATGCCCAAACTCTTTGACCTCACAGAAAGCCCCATCTCCATGGTAACCCACCAGCTCAGTGGGTTGGGGGGTCAACAAGGAAGGAAGGAAGGAAAGTGGAGGAGCAGTCGCGTGATTGTTCAGCATGGGTGGGACCTTAGGACAGAAAACAATAGAGAACTGCATCCAGGCTGTGCCACCTCCCTAGCTCTCTGTATGTGTTACAGCCTTTTAGCAGCCTATGCAGAGCCAAGGACAAACAGGGAAAACAGTGAAAAGGCAGACAAACATCAGAGTCAGGCAGTTGTGCAGTAGCTGAGCTGCGGAGTAAGGTGACAAACACAGACGGGAACAGACACATCTCTTTCTAGGGGGGACAAAACGGCAGCCAAGAAGGTTACCTGTACTGTAAGTGGTAAATAGTGAATAAGATGTAGAGCTTACTCTATCTCTGATGTGATTTTTGGTGTCCCTCCAAGGTAAAATGGAGGGAGAGAGGAGGAGGTGACTTACGGGAAGAGTTCGACATTTTGAGGAATTCGCTTATTTGCTTTCTTGCTAAGAGTTGGACAAGGAAATCAATATTGTTACAGTAAATACGGTATGATATGTAGCTGGAGCAAGGAGCTTGTTAGCTTAGCTTGGCATAAAGACTGGAAACAGGGAAACAGGTAGCCTGGTTCTGTCCAGGTGACAAAAGTTTTTACGGAATAAACAAACAAGATATAAAGTCTTGATTAGTGTGCTTGAGAGATACTTGTAGATTTTGTTAGAGCCAGTCCAGCTGTTTCCCTGTTTCCAGGCTTTGTGCTTCGCTAAGCTAATCGGCTGCTGGCTGTAGCTTAATATTTAAACATGTACAGACATGAGAGTGGTACTGATCTTCTCACCTAAATCTTAGCAACAAAACAAATAAACGTATTTCTCAAAATGTCAAGGTATTTATCTAAATTTTGAAGCACAAAGACATTTCACATTTCAGCCTGTGTGAGCTGCAGCTTCCCAAAGCCCAAACTGTAATGCATAAAAATGTGAAATGTGCTATTCAGTGCAATAGTCAATTGTTTTTGCTTCTCTTTGTTTCTAACTTGAAATAAAGACAAAGAAACTTTTGTTCATATTTGGGTCATTATTTTCCAGTTGGCTGTGTTCGCCTCCAGTTCCCCTCAGACTGGATATTCACTGCAGACTGAGTAAACTTGGCATCTCATCCTCAGACAGTCCCTCTGACTCAGCTTTTCCACTCTTCTTCCTTCCTCTTTTTTCAGTCAGTGAGTCAATCACCCGCCCGGTTATCCCACTTCACTTTCTCTTTGACTTCTTTGAGGCCCCCCACCCCCTCAATTTGCTCCTGGCCTCTTGCTCATTGCTCAGATCCGTCAGCTTGCTCCCCATAACCCGCTCTGCTTCCTTCCCCTCGGTTGTCTGCCAGTCTGTCCTATTTCTTCCTATCTTTTGTTTTTCTCTCTGCCTCCTCAGGGCACAAGTGTCTGCGCCACAGCGCCAGAGTGTTGGACACTCAGGTGCTGGTCAGTCCATCTCAGGAACAGGTTCATTCAGAGGTGAGAGGATAAATCCTGGTTTCATTCTGAGACACATTTTTTAAATTATAAAAACTCTGAGGTCTGAAACAAAGCAGGGAACATTATTCTGTTTGCACATTCACAATGATTGCTCTCTTGTACTTTATATTTGAATGCAGCCTAAACAGGAATGTGACAGTCTATAATGATTTTCATGTGATTGCAAATAGTGTCATACAACTTTACTGATGCACTTTCACATGATTTAATTGATTAGAGACATTACTAATATTTCATTTCCATTATCATCCATTCCTAAACTGTTTTCCTTAATAATAAAATATCTGTTTTATATAAAAAAAGTTACAGAGCCGAAGTTGAATGTGGCATCTTAATATTTGTTCAACCAAAGGCCCCAAACCTGAAAAAATATTCAAATTAAAGTGGTGTAAAACAGAGAAAGCAGAAAATACTCACATTTAAGAAGCTGTTACCAGCTAATTGTTGGTATGTTTGCTTGAAATCTCATTCAAATATGTGAGTAATCAATAAAGTTTCTTTTTATTTCAGCTCTAAAATTAATTGTGCATGAGCCTTATATTAAAATATTTTTTCAGATCAAAAAGCCTGTGTTGCTATTTTATTTCTCTCTCTCCCCTATAACCTTTTGTCTTGCTCTACTGCTGTTTTTTGACTTTTGATTGTAAAAATGAGTAAAGTGGCATTACAAAACAACACATCTTACCATCTCTCTGGCCTGCTCAGGTATTTGCTCTGCTGTCGAGGGGGTCGGCTCATAAACTGTTGATCTTGGCTGGCCAGAGCGTGGAGGAGAGTGGAGACCTGCTGTTCCACAGAGGACTGTTCTCGCCACAGCAACTGAAACAAATACTAACGGAGCAGGTAATGCACTATCCCTTCCTGAATAAAACATTATATATTATATAATGTTGTTAAGTCAGTCGCTTGATAAAATCTTGAACATTTACAAGTTTAGGCTTATTTTAAAGCTGCAAGTATCAATTGTTTTCACTATTAATTATTCTGCAGTTTACTTTTTCCTTGGTTTTGTCGATGAAAAGCAAGAAAAAAAACATCAAAACATGCCAATCACATTTCCCAGAGCCGAATGAGTCATCTTCAGTTTGCTCATATTTAAATTATTTAAACACTGTTGTGATTATTTGATTATTTTATCCCTCAGCCAGACCAGTATTTTCTGCTGTGTCTTATTTTACTGCGAAACTCATAGGTCATCATCAGCTTGTGTTTTGAATGTAAATTTAAATGTGACAACAAGATGGTACTGTAGAGTATCGAAGTTTGAGAGTTTAAAGGAGCAATTTTTTTTTCTTTTATAACCTCTTGTCTTGTCAAGACAAGCGACAATCACCACCTTCCACTCATAGCAAGAAACCTTGTTCGGTGGCAGAGAAAACGTACAAATAGCCCCTTAAAGAAAAATCTGACAATCAATCAATCAATCAATCAATCAATCAATCAATCAATCAATCAATCAATCAATTTTTTACGAAAACATATAATATAACAATATAAAAAAGGATAATTTAAATTTGCTTTTACACAATGTTGACTAAGATATGTATCGAGCGAGAGACAATCCTTCTGAACCACCTCAAATCTTATTGACCAACACATATATGAATACCAATACCAATATATCTGTCCCAGCCAGTATGAACTATTGGATGTTGTCTCTATCTTCAGTTCATAGATCAAGAGAGCTCTGCTTCCTCCTGCAAGCTCAGCCTGACCCTCAGCTGTCCCAACATCGGCGAGTGGAGGAAGACCCTCTTGGGGAACCAGCCTCTGCAGGGTCCTTTCACGCTTCACATCAATCCCCCAGAGGTGCTGCCTGCCATGGAGGCCCTGGGGGAATTCACCTCCCTCATCTCCAGTACCCTTTGCCCTCCATCCATGTTTGACCTCCTGCCTCCTCCCACCACCGTCGGTTTCCTCAAGCTGTCCCGTCCCTGCTGCTATGTGTTCCCTGCCGGCCGCGGTGACTGTGCCTTCTTTGCTGTAAATGGGTTCACGGTGCTGGTGAATGGCGGCTCCGACACTCAGGCCTGTTTCTGGAAGCTGGTCCGCCACCTCGACCGTGTTGATGCAGTTTTGTTGACGCACATCGGGACAGAGAACCTGCCAGGTGTTAACACCTTCCTGGAGAGGAAGGTGGCAGAGCTGGAGCTGAGCTCTGATGTCAAAGGTAAGATAAGAATGTTATTTATGACCCTGAATGTAATGAAGAAATGTTGCTTGGATGTTGAGATTTCTCTACAGCCCTCTTTACCTGTTTCATATTAAAACTTCTCATTGTCTGTGTGTTTCTCTGTGACTTTATATTCTTTCATTTGAACAGACGACTTGTCTAAGAGGTTGATCTCCCCTGAGCTTGGAGTTGTGTTCTTCAACGCCCCCGGCAGGTTGCAGGTGGAGCAACAGCCTTGTGAGTGATGCATTAAAACCCACTGTAATACAGTGTAGAAGATAGAACTAAAGAGGGAACATGGGCTTACATCCCTCTTGTTAATCAGATACAAATCAAATATATTTGTATTGCATGATTTTGGATTTTAAAGGACGCTTCTTCCTTCAGTGTTGGTTTAAAGATCCCCTGTGAGTGTGAACAAATATTCAATGTGTCTCACATAAAACACATTTTGTGTATTATTGACAGTTCACAAATGAGTTTAATGTATTTCCTTCCTTCCCAAAGCTGTACATGAAAAAATATTCTTGACCTTTGACACAGTACTTTGCTAAAAAACTCAAGCTCCATTTACTAGGTTTTCTGAAGCGCTCAAACTCATCTCACAGTCTTTTTCAACAGTTGGTTTGCTCAGTTGTTATGGAGATTGTTACCAAAGTTACCAAATATTTTGAAACCTGCAGTGTTTTGCATTTAGGGCTACATAGACAAGCAGCCTCCTTTTCCTGCTGTGTATTGTTGAGACTGAGTTGCCATTTAGTTGTACTTTATTCATTCAGTGTGATTACATCTTCACATCAGCCAGTTGGGAGGTGTGATTATTCTGTTTTATTTTGCCCTAACTGATATGTAGCAGCAGGTGATGTGTCCATCCTGCCATCAATTTTAGTCGACACGGAACCTGCCATAGTGATTTATTTAATAGCAAAGAGTCAAAAAGTCATTTCTGTAAGTCGATTTGCAACAACCAGCTACATCAATCTCATCCGTGCTTGTCACAATTTTTTAGTCATTTTGCTGTGCTATTTTTCATGGATGTTGCTAAGCTAGCTGCAGACCTCTGATTGGTCAACTGTTTCTCCAACTGGTTGGGAAACACATTTTAATAGGCACAACAGCAGATTTAGAGGTCTGGTAACAGGTTACGTAACCACCACCAACTATCAATATGCATTTACCTTACTCCGTAGTTGAATGTTTATCTCATCAGTCACGTACATACGAATGTGCGTACATGTGCATTATTGCATGCCTGCAAGTAGAGCATGAGAAACATCAAAACATTATAAAACATTAGCTAAAATACAAGCTCCTCTGGTAGTGAAAAACTCAACAGGGTACCTTTAACTCATTAGCCCGCTAGATTTCTAAATGGAAAACACAAAGTAATTTGACGACTACTATTATGTAGACTTAAATCTGTCATTCTTCTCCTGTCAGGTGTGGATAATGTACTGAAGAGCACACAACAGGCAGCCCTAACCCTACAGTTGTTAAAGAAGTTAGAGATCAGACCCCAACCAATGTTTCGACCACAAGGAGTCCCCATTGAGCCACTAACCTTGTTCCAGAAGATGGGAGTGGGACAGCTGGATTTGTACATCCTCAATCCTGGCAAAAACAGCCAGGAGTACCAGACGCTCATGCAAAACTGGCCTGATGCAGTGTCATCAGCAACCAAATCCCAAACTCTCCCTCTCCCTCTCACTGCACTGGCCTCGGTGTCTGCCCTGCTTGTGTGGCATCCAGCCTGCCCTCAAGAGAAGGTGGTCAGGGTGCTCTTCCCGGGTGTTACCCCACAGGCGAAGGTGCTGCAGGGGCTAGAGAAGCTGAAGGGCCTGGCCTTCCTCCAAAAACCCACCGTGACAACCGGTGACCTGGAGAGGCTCGGGGAAGACAGGAAGACCAAGAGGACAGAGAGCCAGGACAGTGGCAGGTCACTAGGGAAGGAAACAACATTCAAACATGGAAAAGAAAGAGGGGTGAGAGAAGAGGCATCAGTGAAGGAGAAGGGGAAAGGATTAAATGGAGTTGTAGGAAGAGATGATGATAAAACCAAAATCAAAGAGGTGGGTGTAAAGCAAAAAGCAGCATCGTCTGAGAAGAATATGTCAAAGAAAGGAGGAGGGAAGGATGGGAAGACTGGCAATAAAGATGAGAATAGTATTATGAAGAATGATCAGATGAAAAAGGATGGTCTATCTTCCAAACCAAAGAATGAAAATAAAACTAAGCTCAAAAAGGAAGCAAAAAATGACTCGAAAACAGGGGTGAAGATAACAAGAAAACCACCAGGAAAGGAGGCAAATGATGGCAAGAAGGCACATGTAAACTCTGAATTGCCAAATAAGAACTCAACAAAACCTGATCCTGGCCCTGTGTTAGAAAAGTCAGAGCCGGACTGCCCTGCTACAGAGCAGCAGAATCAAAAACCGGAGAAAGAACATGAAGAGAAACCCTGTGGCTCCAAAGCATCTACCCCTGAGGACATGACAGCTGATTTCCTCAGGCTGCGAGAGGGAACTGAAGGAGAAGAGGCGCAGGAGGGAACAGCAGATGAAGGAGAGCAGAAAAGCAGTGAGTCAGGAAATGAAAAGAGCCTTGGAGATCTGAACAAAGAGACAAGTAATGAAGCTGCTGATGGAGCAGTGGAGGAAGCAGCAGGTGGCGCAGGGATAATGGGAGGAGAGAGTGGTGGTAATGAAGTGAAAAATAAGGCTGGGACTGGAGAGAAAGCTGGTGTAGACATGCAGAAAGGGTCTGAAGACCAGCTTGGATATGCTACCAAACCAGCAAAGGTTGTGGGATTTCCATCTCCCTTGAACAAGATGCCAAAGGACGAGTGCACAGTCCAGCTAGACTTAACCCCGACTGAGTACACTCTCCTAGATGGGGCTTTGAGACACAGCCCTCCCTCAAGATCCTCTCCAGAGAACCAGGCCCCTGTCAGCCCTGATGAGGAGACCGTGGAGCCGGCCTCCCCTGACTCACGGCCCAACAGTGCGGGCCACACTCCTTACTGTCTTTCCCCAGATGATGTGTGGTGCAACAGGGCCACTCTTAGCAGGCTACAGGCCCAGATGGGTAACTTAGAGCCCACTGACGTCAGCCAGTCAAGTGGATCATCCAGACAAAGTGAGGGGCAGCTATGCCACCCCAAAAACACTCCAGAGAGCCACACGAATCCCAGGGAGAAGCATCTAAGTTTCCTTTCTTTGGGTACATTTAAAGAGGGATCTTCAGACCCCTCTCCCTCTGTGGCCACCACCACCACCACCACTACACACTCCATGCCAGCAGAGGTGAGCTCACCTCAGTCCACAGAAGTAGACGAATCACTGTCCATGTCCTTCGAGCAGGGACCAACCAATGTGAGCCAGAGAGAGGGAGAAGACAGTGTTCATCACTCCCACTCCAATGGAGGCCATTTTGTGGGGATGTCTTTACCGATGAAGAAGCCTCCCAGATCTTTAGGTCAAGGTTCAGAGATGGGGCGACCTCCAGCCCCTAACACACTTCATTTTGAGGCGTCACCTCATGATGTGGATCTTTGTCTGGTTTCTCCTTGTGAGTTTAAGCATTTCAAAGCCCCTGACTCCAGCTCAGGTGCCAGTGAACCCTCCAGAGGAGCCTTTCCTACGCATCATCACGGCAGCAACAATAACAATCCTAAGGACACGTCACCCAGTGAGTCAAATGCCCCCGTTTGTACAGAGGACTGTCCGTCCACCACGGCAGATGGAGCTCTGGACTCGGATGAGGATGAGTCGTGCAGTGAGCCGACTAACTCCCCCCATGACCTCTGCACCAGCCAGGCTCTGCCCTCAGACCCTCTTCCAGCCCCTCTCAGGGACAGTCCGCCTCTGCCCCCACATCCTGACGCCTCCATGCCCGTTCCTCAGTCTGAATCTGATGCCCACGGGAAGAGAGCTAAAGCCAGCATCATGCGGGGGAAAAAAACGCCAGGGGTGAGTTTGACTTATTAGCATAAAAGAAAACGACGTCCGTGTTAATATAATGTATGAGCTCGTGTATTTAGGCTAAATTTGTTGGATGATAAATAGTTTTATTGTGGCTGCAATCAAGACTAACTTCAGAATAACAGAGTTTTCATCAAGAAGTCAGTATTGGTCGTAGTTGAAAAGTTTAAGCTATTAAAAGGAATACTTTGATATTTTGGGAGGGGCTCCCAGCCAAGAAATATTCCTGAAAACAACTCCCTATAAAACAGCATGTTTTTTTTTTGACAGATTAAACAAACATAATAGAACGTGTTAATTAGCGAGCCTGAGCGGTGAGGTGAATGAATGTTTCCCCGTGTTTCTAGTCATTGTGCTAAACTAACCAATACACTGGAAGCAGCTATAATGGTAATGACTGGTATGACATTTACAACATTTTGACACGTAGCAGTTTTCGACTGGGTCAGGCCTACGACAGGTAAAGTTGTAAAGTAAGGTTTAAAGTTGAAGCATTCTATTTTGATACAAGCAAGAAAATAATAGTGTTTCACCACTTTTCAATTCACATCTTAGAATTAATTTTTGCATTTCTGTACTATTTTTGCCTACAAACAGCATACCTTCTGTGCATGCACAAAAATTACACAAATTAGAAAGTAGACATTTTTTACTTCATACTACTACTACTACTTTATAATGAATTTTGAGTCACATATTTGCTAAATGATTATGAATAGGATTAGCATAAAATTCTCATGGCTGTAATTTTTTTAATGTTATCAGGTTATTGAGGGCTCCCAGAAATCAGGCTCAGGAAAAAGCAAGACAGGGAGCCAAAGTGGAGTCACAAAAGGGAATGTTTCTTCCACTCGCACGCCTTCCTCCAACAGCCGCTCAGCTCCGGCAAAATCCTCATCCAACCCAGGTACAGATGTTTCTACTCTTCTCTTTTTTTTTTCCTGTTCCATTTGGCATCACCATTTTCAAGCAGCACTTTCTCCCCTCCCCTCTGTCACAGGCTCTAAGTCTACCTCTGCTGGTGAAGTCAGCGTGTACGTGGACCTGGCCTACATCCCCTCTGGAGCCTCGTCTTCAACAGTCAGTGTGGACTTCTTCAGGTGTGTTCGCTCCTCCTGCTACATCATCAGTGGCGACAGTCCAGAGAGGGAGGAACTAATGAGGCAAACACTGGATGCCCTACTGGATGCAAAGATATCCTGGCCTGACACTATGCAGGTAGACACACACACACACACACACACACACACACACACACACACACACACACACACACACACAATTAGATTCATGCACAATACAACAAATATCGCATGATGTTGGTGGGTCTCTTACATTGCAATTCCCTCCAGAAGAAAGAAATCAGCAGTCAAACTTGTCTTAATCTTGAAAGCCTATTATTTATAATTCCCAAATTAAATGAGATTCAAAGATGTTTTTCACACCAGAAGTTTTGACTGGACATAGCAGGAAAAGCACAGATGGAACTAATAATATTAATAATGGCTGTGTTCCAGGAAACACTGCAATGCAGCAGTTGATAATGTTATTAACTGTACAACTGCCTGACTCTAGTTTCTAGTTTCACTCAACATTTTATCCCCTGATCATATGTGACCCCCAGTCTGGGAGTTACTGGGCTACTGGATTTATCGGATACCTTTCGGCCAATCAGAAATGAATCAGAATGTGTGGCTGTGGTATATATGAATAGAAAAATAAAGCAGTTTCCATGGAGCAAGAGATGCTGGTAAATACAAAATGAGCATCAGTAGTAGGCTAATAAAAAAATTAACCACAAATGTTTTCACCGCACAGTATGTGATCAACTCACAGATAAGGATGTATAATTCTCGACCATGTATTTTGATGGGCTGAGGGTACATTCACCTCCACGAACATTTGTGGTTTCTTCTCTCTTGCATGGTATAGATGAATTTATAAAACTTCCTATTGTTCCCCCCTCACAGTGTAAAGACAATCATAAATGGTGGGAAAATAACCTGTTCTTCAGGGGGTGTTTAAAGTTCAAAGCCAGGTTAATATTAATGGGATGACCGTGACAAACAGCATATGTCTTTCAGAATGACGCAACCACAAACATCACTGCCTTACAGCACAGTTTCTAATTTGCATTTGGTGAAAATGCTGTAAAAAATGGCTACATGGTTCTGTAAATTCCCTAAAAAATTGTTTTGTGTCAATGGCAAAACAGCAAATTTCTTTTTCTTGCTAGACAACTTCTGCCGTGTTCATCATTGTTGAATTGTTCTTTTTTTTTTTGGTGCATCAAAAGGCATACCCACAACCACAGGGATCCTGAAGCATGTAACTCATAGTTCGTAAGGAAATCTGCTCAGAGCTTTCCACCAAACTGCAACCTACTCATAATTTTCTGCAGATACTGGAATCATCTAAAAAATGTGTGCAAATCCAAACTGTGTGCAATTTCTTAATTCATCTTACCTTTTCTCTGTGTCTCAAGGTGACAGTGATCCCTACCTTTGAGTCAGCGTCAATGCAGGAGTGGTACCAGCAGACCCTGGACAGACAGAGGGAGCTGGGCCTCACTGTCCTGGGATCCAACAGCACTGTTGCCATGCAGGACGAGACCTTTCCTGCCTGCAAGATAGAGTTCTGAGGCATGCATGTGAGATGCAGAGGTGGAGGGTGAATATGAGATTAAGGATGGAAATGTGCGCGTGAGAGAGACAGAAAGAGTCTGGAGCTAAGAGTTACAGAATTAGAGAGTTAGAAACAGAGATTATGGGGCAATAAAGGAAATATGGTGCCCCTTACTGCACGAAAATGACCGAATGGGTAATTAAATGGGGTATTCACTCCATCCCTTCCTGGTTTTCACTTCTTTTTGGGCTTCTTTTGCATCAAAGAGCCCTTGTTTCTCTTCATCCATGGAGAGCATACATCCCTGTGGGGAGTACTGCATGATTTTTTTCGACCAATGACCCTGTGTCAAACAGGAGAGGAGATCACACTGGCTGTGAGAGAAGCATGTCGGGCTGCAAACATGTAGATCCACATGAAAGTCGATGTTGTAGATTAGTCAAAATAGTTAGCACACAAGGGGTTAAAGGCACTATGTGTGGGATTGTTTTCTCAATACGTGAAGCGCTGAGAAGTGACTGTGACAGCAGCCTGTGCTACAGTATGTGTCTGGGTCTATTTAGCTGCTTTTAATGCTACATTACATACAAGTCCCACCTGAGGGGAATTGAAGGATCATTTAGCTAATCCAACAGCTCGAGATATTCCAAAATGGCAAGATTGTGCAAACTTTCGTTCGTTAAAGCATTGTTTGCATTGTGTTTCATTTACTTACTAAAGTTCACAGTATATGGCCAGATATTTGTTGTGAGCACTGTGAGCAGATATTGAGGTGAGCTGTGTGCCGTGTGTTGTGCCTGCTTTAAAAAGTATTGCGCCACTGTGGCTGTGACTGCCGAGCAAACAGACGCTGATGTGTCCGGCTGTTAGTGAGTGATAATCGTGTGAGATTACTGAATCTGAGTGTGCAAAAACAAATCTGTCAGAAGGGATTAGAGCACCAGATTAAATTTAATATCATTACAGCAATCATTTTATTAAGTATGGTTCTGTAATTGTAATCCATTACAAGTGCTTATAATCATGCTAATCAGGAATCAGACTGCAAATGCTTTTGCAGACTTATGTGTTGACTTGTTATCCAACTCAAAAAAAAAAAAACTTATAAAACTTTAATGTAATGACATGTATATTGATTGTGAATATGATGGATATGATCATACATTATATTGTAGACAAATATTTTGCACAGCATCACATGAGGGTTTATTCGCAGTGGGTGTTTATGAGTTTTCCAATTTGTAGTATGTAAATAAGAATAAATTAACAAAACAAACTAATGTTATTTATAATTGGAGCCAAAGTAATCCTGGAAATGAAATGAAAATAAATTAATTACTTAACAACACACATAAAAATTTATTTTATCTGTACATAATTTCCTAATAAATTCCCACAAGACATGGTTCAATTGATACATTTCCAATTAATTGTTAGCATAAAGTTGGACATGCAAAAATGTCAAATTTGTGTACAGGCAAGCATACAATTTAACAGATATAAAGAGTAATTTTTTAATAATAAATGAGTGTTTACTTGGATTTAAGTAGAGCAAAAGAATTTTCTCTGGATATATATAACTGCTTGTATCCTCAAGACAACTAACTAAACCAACTACACTCTAGCGTCTCTGTAATTTTTACCGAATTTCAGGTTTAGACCCAGTATATTTTAATTGCAATTTCAAGTAATCAGTAATCTTTAATGTAGTAGATTACATTTTAACCTCTCTAGACCCGTCTGTCTGTTTTCCTTCCTCTATCCTTTCATCCCAGTCTGGATGTCGAAGAATAGATCTCATACGGTGGGATGTATAAGAAATCACTATTTAAACTATGATTGCCTTTTTAGCTACTTATTTGCCACATAAATGTGAATGTGACTGTGGCATACTGTTTCCTCAAGACCAAAGCATGAGATCAAAAAGCCCCCATTGACCATTTTCCTCTCCATCTAAATGCTGCCTACAAATACAAAAAATGTCATTTTCATTCAATATCTCTAAATTATCTGAAAGATATTTTGTAGTTATATAAACCCACTGTTCATCTTTTATCGTGAACTTGTATCACCTTTGAGAATAATGCAAATTAGTTTTATTTTGTGCAATCAATTTACTTTCTTTTTTTTTTTTAAATCACTTTCTAAAAAAAGGTGCATATGGAATTAAACTTTTCACATGTTGTCCAACCCATATCAACGCTAATGAATCCCCACATAGTTTACACACACCTTAATGCAGATTGAATGAGTCATTGGGATTTGAAGGTTCAACTAGATCTGTAATCGTGGCCAACAATTACTTGAACCCCACAGTAGCCAAGTGAATTGTAACTATATGTATGTGTCCCGCATGTATGGAATCCTGTATGTACTGTATGTTGTTTCATTCATGATATTCATGAAGACAGAGAGCAAAGCATTGTGGGAAAGCAGAGGCAAAGAGGGGGGGCTGAATTTAAGAACGTCACTGCTGGGATGAACATTGAGAAACTTTTGCTTTGTAATTGTCTGTAAGTACATACAATGTCAAAATATGTGGGTTTGTGGGGGCTGGGAATAATGTATCAATAAAGAATGTGCATCACTGTTAAAAAATGTCAGTTGCGCGTCAAATAGAAATGCAAATTCTTCAGCAATGCAGCCGTGTGGATATTGATAAAAAATGATGAATGTGCTGCAGCTCAAAACCTATGTCATTGCTATCTAGGGGTCCACGAAGTGGATGCAGGGAAAGCAGGGTGAGGGATTTTATAATGTGATGATGATGAAGATACATAGTAAATAGAGCACATTTCATCTAACCTGTAAAGAGATAACTGGTGTCATTTCTTTACCATTGAGTTGACTATAATCATTCGGTCCATTTGCTATTTGCAGCCATGGTATATTCTACATGTGGGCTATACTCAGTTGGCAGTTATCTTCATTAGTCATGTACAGTCACTGGAACAGTCAACTCGTCTCTTACAAGTGGTAATAGGAATATGTCATAATGCACAATATATACTAAAAAAGTTAAAAGGTTACAAGGTTTATTTATTTATCATTTGACACAGGGTTGTACAACAAGATGATACTCCAGTTTTTTTTAATTACATTTTATTTATTCACGCATTTACAGTATATAATTTTGTTTTGGTGAGTAGCATAAAGGGAACGACAGCTAGTACTTCTCCATATACAACGTTATAGTAAGTATCCAGTCAGAGATTACATAAATATTAACATAGATAATAACATTGTTAATGTTGTGACGTTAGACTCAGTGTCATATTTTAGAAAAGATGTTTATTCAGAAAGAATAAATGAAAAATCATTATGCAAACATACAATTTTTCTGCCAAAATGAGTTATCATGCATAAATACAAGTGTACATAATTGTAAAAGAAAAGGCCATTCTTTCACAACAATATACATTACACCTCATCCTAGAGGAACTCCCTGGTGGGAAGCACCAATACATCATTTCTTAACAAAGCAAATATCAACACCAACAGCCATACTATCAAAGACCTTAACCAGGTTTTGCCACTTCATATCTTACAGTCGTTAAAAGTAGTGTAAGTTACTTAAAAGCTCATAGAAGACGGTGTGCTCTTATTTTGAAAAGTGAAATTGACGTCATCGGCAGGAGATCACTTGTTTCCCGAAACTTGCTGGCCACAAATGTTTTTTTCGCTTCACAAATACAACGTTGATTCACAAATGTCTGTTTGAAAGTTGTAAATGTTCCGAAGATATTCACAAATGCTTTTCATTTATTTGTAAATTAATTGACTGTATTCACAGATGTTTTTATTCGTGGAATTAGTTTGTGTATTTGCTTGTATATTTGCAAGATTTCTTTTTTTGAGTTTTCAAATTTGTTTTTTTTTTTTATTTATACCAAACATCTCCATCTCCAAAAAGCTTTCAGTTGTATTATTATATTATGTAATGTTATGTTGTGTTATGGTATGTTATATCTGTAGATCCCTCCAGTAGTAAACACGAAGCCCGAGGTCATAGTTAAAAGCGAGGTTTATTTTCTGTACCACACCAACCCGTGATAACTGGGTTTAAAGAAAGAGAAAAAATAATCAATAAACAAGAAATGCATGTATGTGTGTTCTGTGTACAATTTATGCCCCGACAGCTACAACGGGCAGCATGCAGCGTGTAGCATAAAACACACACATCTTTACGGTATAAATGAATTTCAAACAAAACATACCTCGTAGGCTGCGTGTACTGAAGAGGGCTGATCATTTCTTCGTTACCTTGTCTTTGTCCTTCTTCATGTAAATCATATCACTTCATACAGTTTTTATTCACTTTAGCTGCAGCTCATCTGTCCTGCATCCCTTCTTCGGTACTTCCATTGCAAGGTGTGCATTTTAATTAACTACCGTGCGGAACACCGGAGCGGCAACGGCCAGTTCCGCCTCCAGGATCACTAACAGCAGAACAAAATAACCAGAACCGAAACTGACAATGTGAGGCAGTAACAATATCCCTTTCTTTGTCTTTGTCTTGCCTCACCAAATAATAAAAAAGTGCAACTCAATTCTCAGAGCAGTCTTACTTCACTTCAGCACCGTGCTGACCTTGGTTATTTTTTTATGTGCTACATATTTCCAAAGGACGAGACCATCCTCACAGTTTGAATCCAGATTCACTTCTGTTTGAATCACAGCGGTCTGCTGCGTATTTACCGCATCACTTTTTTCTACTGCAGGTGAGTTTGATCTACAGGACATCTACATCTAGCTGCATCCACAGTATTCAGATAAAACAGATGTTTGTCGTAGGTCAGATTTTTGTTTAATCACTTCATTTTAATTTGTTGGGGACTTTGATCACGTTACTTTCGCTTTCAGTGTGAGGCTATTTTTCCCCACTTAAGGCAACGCCATCCATTTTATCTTGATATATTTTTAGCAGCCGAACGTTTTTATGAGTTTGAACGATCTTTGCTTCAGTGTTCAGGGTGTGAAGGAAGAATAAGTTGGAAACATCTATTCACCGAGGTAAAACTGAGCCTAGACCCTCTTATCTACCATTTTATCTGTGTCATATGATACAATACAAACCCTTTATCAGACTTACTCTCTGTTACAGCCATGAAGTCTGCACACTGTAAAAGCTGCAACCTACATTATTTGGCATAAATAACAATTCGAGGTTGTTAGGTCTTAGAAAAACTTAAAATATCAGCATTTATGGTACAAATTGGAATTGGCACTTGGCAGCACAATGCCCCTGAGCTGAGCTTTCATAAAGATGAGGCTTGACACAATAAATCATTAAAAAAAGGGAACCCATGCTCATTTAGAACATTACCAAAAATTCAAGTGGGAACAGCATAGTTACTTTGACTCATATTAAATAACATGTTACTCTAACTTGTAATGAGTTAACAGAAGTAAAAATTTAAAGTAGGATAAACTCAAGGCCTAAACTTAAGAGATCAAGTTAAATGACTCAAGATTTTACTGCAGTTTGTAATAGAAGTCTACCATAATATCTTATCCTTGTGCTGCATCCTCAGGTTTGTATCCTCCGCCATGTCTGTGGTCACGTCCGGCCTGTCTAAGGATCAGCAGAAGAAGCTGCACTCTCTCCTCGGTCATGTCAAACTCCACCTGCTCTACAAAGCCAGCATCCACGGCTTCACTGCCGCTGCTTTCCACGCCCACTGTGACAGACAGGGGCCCACCGTCATCACCGCCTACAACGCCACTGGGTTTGTTTTTGGAGCTTACACCTCTAAAGACTACACCCAGTGCCAAGAGGGCATCAGTGATGAGCAGGCTTTCCTCTACAGCATCAGTGCAGGGGAAGACAAGCCGCTGAGGGTGGGGGGTATCAGCGGACAGTGTGCTTTCACTGATGTATCAACTGGTCCAAATTATGGTGCTTTGGTGTTCCTGCATGAGGACAAACCTCACTTACTGTCCAACCCAGGGACGGGCTTCGTCTTTCAGGCAGCAGCGATGCATGGAGAAGACTTAGCGCTGACTGAGTTTGAAGTGTATCGAGTTGAAGGTGTGTAAGCACTTTCTCTTATCAAATATGGAAGGTGCCTTTAAAACATTGGGTTATGCTTTCAGAAACAGACAATCTTTTCACAATTCATGCATGAATTTTGCATTATTTCACATGTCTAACAAACGTGATTGATGTTTTTAAATTGAATTAGGCAAATATATGATAAAACAATGGAAGTAAATACAGACTAAGAATGGTATTGTCTCAGTTAAGCTAAATGAAGTGAATGAATATTGATGACTAGAATGAAATAAGCCAACAATAAATGTGTTCCCTGCAGGTTTGGGAGATCTCCTGGCCAAACCCTGGAGGAACATCCAGTGGACTGCAGAGTATGTAGAAGCACACAGCACATTGTCTTAATCTGCAAGCTTAGACAAACATGTTGAATTAATTTCCTTGCTCATAAAACATTTGAGAAGCAGATTTTTACATCTTAAATCTTAAAGCTATATGTAGACCTATGCTCACTCACATTCTTCTTCTTCACCGCCTTTATTGGCACACTGCTGCATCCCCACAGGCAGCTACCGATCAGTGAAATGGCATGAAACCTAAAAAACGACTGTGTGCCCACGCGTGCATGATACAAACAAAATGGGAACTGTCTTGTAAAAATATTGCTCTATATCACCACTATAGGTCTAAAACTCCACATCCCACCTTTAAAGGAGCTATTTGTAGGTTCTGCTATTGCTACATAGCCAGTGTTACCATTAACAGCTGTTTACTTACCAGTCTTCACCCATCATTGCGTTTACAAGACAAGAGGTTATAATCAACCCTCTGAGCAGGTTTAAAGGTTTAACTTCTCACCTTGCTGCAGTGATGTGGGTGTAAATGTGGTCTGTATCATTTCTGTTTCCTCTAGAAGAAGGCAGCAGTCGATGAAGGTCATCCGGAGCTATCAGTCTTGCATCAAAACAGTTCATCAAGCCCGGGTGTTGTTGGTGGGTCCAGTTGGGGCTGGTAAATCCAGCTTCTTCAACTCCATCAACTCAGCGTTTCGAGGCAACATGACGTCCCAGGCCATCGCTGGTACTGCAGGGAAGAGTGTGACCACTCAGGTACTGGAAAAAAAAGTTTGATTCGTTGTACTACTGATATGTTAAAGGGGACATTTGCCCATTTTGTTTGCTGCAACCTAATCATCGGCCATTAATTCATGAATCAAGAAGTAAGAAAATACCTGAAAAACTGTCGCATGGTGTTGGTCATATAAGGGGTTTCAGTTCCTCAACTGCTTGTAGTATGAACTATACATTATGTCCCATTAAATTACATTTCATGTCTTTAGTTTCGCACCTACACCATCAAGGCAGGGAAAGGTGGTGAAGCTGTTCCTCTGGTCCTGTGCGACACAATGGGGCTTGAGGAAAATGCTGATGCTGGTTTGGACATTGAGGACTTAGTCAACATCTACAAGGGTCACGTCAAGGATCGCTACCAGGTCTCCCATATAACTACCGGCCTACTTGCCTCCATCTTTAAGTAACTGATTTCATCTTAGAAATGTAGGCTACTTAGTGATTAATAATAGATTTTTTATTTCTCTTTCAGTTTAGTCCCTCTGCTCCTCTCCTGGAGAGCGCTCCGGGCTACAAGAAGCATGTGACCCTCAATGACAGGATTCATTGTGTGGTTTATGTAATGGACACCTGCAAGGTCTCTCTCCTTACCCAGAAAATGCTGGACAAGTTTGCCGCCATCCGTAAAAAGACCAACCAGCTGGGTTAGCAGATGTTATTTCCACTGTATTGATGTGCATCTTGATAATTTCATGTTAAATATTGTTTGTTTTACAAATATAGATTTATATGTTACACATTTTTAACATAATACAACAGCAGTAGTCTCTATTTGATTTCACCCTGCACAAGTATAATTCCTTTGCTGTTGCGTTCAAGTTTTCATCTTATCATCTCCTCATCTATTCTTCTGTTCTGGTTTCTTTCCTCTTCTGATCTCTTACAGGTATTCCTCAGATACTTCTGATGACCAAAGTAGACGAGGCATGTCCGCTAGTGGCAGAAGACTTGAAGAATGTTTATCGCAGTGTTTACATCCAGAGGAAGGTAACACTTTTACACTCAAATACTAAATTAAGTGCCAACTTTTTGCTGGTGCTGGTAACTTAATCCACGTGCATTTGTCTTGCTGTCTTCCAGGCACGGGAGCTGAGTGAGTCTCTGGGCATCCCCTTGTCCTGCGTGCTGCCGGTGAAGAACTACAGTGAGGAGCTGGAGCTGGACCAGGACACTGACATATTGCTCTTTACTGCAGTGGAGCAGATGCTGAACTACGCAGACAGCTTCTTCGAGAACCAGGATATTGAAGATCCCGAGGCGACTGATCAACTGGAGCTCTACAGATCCAACAGTTATCAACACCCCGTCTTAGCGGAACGCACTGAACATAATGTTGTTTGAAAGACAGAACATTGTCATTTATCCAAAACCTTTTGAATTCAAACTAATGAGTCTGTTGACCAAATAAATTTAATGAAAGGTTGTTATCTTTGTCAATTTCTATGTAGTTGTTTTTACTTGTCAGGAGCATAACAACAACTAAAGACAAAATAATTAAAGTATGCCTAAATATTGTCCCATGTGACTCATCTTTTTAAGACAACATAGATTAAAAATCTAGAAAACAAGATATTAAATGGATTTTGAAGTGAGATTATTTTGTCAACTTTTAGTTTCAGATATCAGAGACATCAGGAAATTGAACCCGTTCATACTTTTTGCTGTATATTTTTGCTGAACCTTAAAAGCCACTTCAGTTATTCTAGTTGAGGCATATTTTTTGCTGTGAAGATCAAAGGAGGCTTTTTGTCACATGCGAACACTTTCAATTTGATTAACTTTTATTGCATTTGCTTGAAGAGCCTGAAGAACAAAAAGTGCGTAACTGTCAAAATATTTTGGACCGTATGACTTCAAACTCCTGTGACTTTTAGTTTCACATTGAGGTTACAGACTTTTCTTTCTCTCAGTTATCCACTAGGTGTCAGTCATAATTTCATAATGACTGGTGGTCATTTATGGAAACTTGGGACGTTATGAAAACAGGAGGATCATGTTGCACAACTGTTTCCAACTTATTCAAGAAGCTTCTTTTTTTTTTTTTTTTAATCTTTCAGTTGAATTTTATTGATGAATTTCTAGATAATCAGATGTTTTTCTGCACTGTAATTTCACACAATAAGTCAGAATGACAAAGCAAATGCACTTCTATATTTTGAAAAGTCATGACTCAATGTAACCACACTAATAAACCCGCATGACAAATTGAAGTTCTGGTATTTTTTTTTTTGAGCCAATTGCAAAACTCTGGTAGTGTCGGTGCCGCCCTCTTCTCAGCCCCGGTATAAAGAGTGTGTCGCAACGTTGCCAACAACAAACGCTCTTCTTACACGGATCGGACACACTGAGGAAAATACTCAAATAACCGGACTACTTTTAACGCTTTTCCTTTCTCACTGGGATTAATCTCTGATTTTCAAACATGATTCCAGAGGAAAGCTTTGGATCCATCGAGAACAGGTGAGCAATGTTTCGCTCGGGTTTGTGCACTTAACGTCAGATGCAGCGATAGTTTTGTGCCTGTCTGAGCACATGTGGATGGAAGTCGTGTGCTGGACAGTCCCGTCCTTTGACCCCTCGGATCGGAGGCTGGCTGGAGGGCAGATTTTCTAACACGAAATATGATATCTCAGCGCCAAAACTGCTACTACATTACATTTAGCCCAATAACGTTTGAGAACACGAAAGCTCCACTTAAAAAGTTGATGCATGAATATTTTTTGAGTTTAAAAAGTCATATATTCAAAATTTAAGATTTATTTTGCAGTTCTGTGCATGCATGTTGCACAGCCTGCAGTAAGCGTCATGTGTAAGTCCAGCATTCACCATAACTGCTGAAACTTTCCATTGACTTAAATTGATGAAGTAATTGTTACAAAAAAAAAACTGCAAAAGCTGTTTGACATGACCAGAGTTTTGTTTTGTTGCAGAATATAGAATACAAAAGTCTAATTGCTCTGTGCCCCCCCCCCCCAGGATGCAGTCAGTAGGTCTGGCTCTGGAGGAGCTGCTGATAACGGCTGAGAAACAAGACTGCCTTACCATTGGCATCTATGAATCAGCCAAACTTCTTAATGCGTGAGTTGGAACTATTTACTTTGGATGCCTCTCTTTCTTTTCAACCTAACCGTCATGTGAGCATGACATGACATGTGAGCGCAAGTGTCTGCCTGAGACTCACATCAAACACTTATTTTCTCCTTTCCTCCTCAGAGATCCAGACAATGTGGTCCTGTGCGTCCTGGCAGCCGACAATGAAGATGATGTGGCGCTGCAGATCCACTTCACCCTGCTGCAGTCGTTCTGCTGCGACAGCGGCATCACCATCCTGCGAGTCTCCGGCGTTCAGAGGCTCCAGCAGCTGCTGGGAGCAGTGAATGCCAACCGAAACCAGGAAGAGCAGGGAGACCTTCACTGCATGTTGGTTACGGTGTGTAAATTAAGCATAACAGTTGGCTCTTATGTAACTGAAAGTGGAACTGCATCATTACAGATTATTTTCATGCAGTAGCTCAAATGTTCATAAGTGAACAAACTTCGTTGCACTTTCTGGAACTTTTCAGTTGTTTATCTGTCGTTTCCTTGTGATTTTATTTTTCTTTGCAAATGCTATCTGCAGACCAAAGTCTCCTTAAAGTATGACCATGAATTTGATGTTGTGCATTTCCTGTGCAGAACCCCCAGGCTGACCACTGTAGGCTACAAGAGGTGGGAACCTACTGCCAGGAAAGCCGACGCCTCGACCAGTGGGTGCCTGAACTGGTCCTGCAAGAACGCTGAGGGTCTGGCACCCAAACCCACACCAGCAAACTCTTTCTGGGTTCAGATACTGATGAACTGAAAGATCTGATGTACGCCAAGCTGGGATGTCCTGGAGAGGACTGAGACGGGCCGTCCTAACTGAGGACAAGCAGGAACTAATGACTCAGTGACACGGTCGGAGTGGAGACTGGGTCTATGATCTGCTTTGTGCAAAAGATACAGACAGGAAAGCCAATTTCCCACCCAGGACACATTGTTTTTACCTTGGCAGTAAAACAAAATATGAGCTTCTATTTCGTGTTTCTGCTTGTGCATACATAGTGAGTAGCACTATGTTTACGGGGTGTGACATTAATCACCGGAGGAGTAGTAGCTTTGCAACAAAACTTCCACACCCAAACTTGTTGTCCCTCAAACATCTGTGTATTACTATGGACAGGACAGGAATGCTGTAGCGGTGAAACTATGCCCAGCATTCCTGTGTATTCTAACATGGGAGAGGTCCACAGAGAGAAGGTGTGAGTGTGAAGGAGTGAGTATGTGTGTGTGAATGTGTGGTATGCGTGCAAAATGCTGAAGTCTTTCTTTAGAAAAGACTGGGCGTGCAGCGTGTGCGTTCCTGAAATGAGCAGCTGAACCTGCGGAGGAATCGTTGCCATGGAAACTGAGATGAAAATGATGTTGGAGTTGAAGTCACACAGTATTTATTGGTGTTGCAGGACTGAAAAAAAAAAAAACGGCAAAAGGGGCTCAGAACATTATGTATTTTGGTCAGAGGTGGATACAGATTGAACTGTGTTGATGAACAAGTCGGCTTTAAATTGTTATTGTACAGAAAAAGAAAGCAGTCAATATCTTTGTGCCTTCAAGAGAGAGAGAGCTACACTGTTATTAATAATTAATTTATTGGTTTTATCAGCTGTTTGAGTAGCTATTTATTGTATGATTTTTTTCTTTTTGATCTGTTATCGAAGTCAATAAATTATTGTGTTCATAATTACCTGCTTTATCAAATTTCATAAAGTATGCATCACAGAACATGCTGAATCACACAACTACAGTTTACATTTGAGTTGAGGCAATGGAAAAAACATGTGCACTTGGGGCAAAGTCTTTGTCATTAACAAGCTTGTATAAATTTGCTGCCAGGCTTCCCTGTTGAATGAAACACAAGTCAGTTACAGAGTGAAACTGGGGTGGAGGCAGAAACTCATTGTTTTGGGACAAACTGGCAAAACAAGCTGATGCAGACCTACTGTACCTACAAGCCAAGAAGCAGGGGAAAGAATTTGCAGGAAAAAATGCAAGTTGCCTGTCAAGATTTCAGATTTGATTTGTCAGGAATCATTTGCAGTCTTCCTTTCTTGTTTGCATGTTGTACGTCATATGAGCAAGTAAACATGCAGATGCAAGTTTTTCAAAGTGCTGAAGGCCAAAGCATTTGCAAATTACTGTTGGTGTAACCCCACCCTTTCCGCAGTATCTACTCATGATCAGGTATCAGGATGTTCCCGCAACACAGTATAAGTGGTTTGTCCTCCGCTCTGCCCTCCTTTCAGTCTGTTTTGCTCCCCGCTCCACCCTCCGCTCTCACATGTCTGTTCATAGCTCTGACTGCAGAGCCGAGGAGAGAGGGAACATTCAGGCACATGGACCTCCCATTTGTTTACAATCGGCTGGACAGGGGAGTGACTGGTGAGAGGGACTGACATCTGATTGGCTGTGTTTCATCCACCCTAAATCGGATTGGCTTTTGCTTGCAGAGGGATCTGGGGGAAGTATGGTTTGAAACTTGGAGGAGACTCGTGACTGTTGAAGCACAGCTTCAAAGGGTACACAGACGGCCTGAGACAGAGGACTGTTACAATGGCATTACTGTGAAATGACCCAAATGGGAGGATTCACCTAGTCAAACTCTTTGTTTACTGCCTTTAGTGTACTGCACACGATGTTGCCACTGGGCCAGTGAGCATGTGTGTGCATGTGCATTTATGTATCTTTGCAATCCGTGTGAGAAAAAGCCAGACCTCCCCTACTTACACAGGACAAAAAGAAAAAACAGTAATTTGACTGCAGCTAATAATTAACAAGACTAAGCTGCTGCAGCCATTCTCATGGCTCTGTAATGCCTTGTGCAAGCTAAATGTTAATGCATACTTTCAATACTAACATGCCAAGGTTTAGCAGGGGTAATGTTTGCAATGTTCACCATCTAAGTTTAGCATCTTAAAATTAGTTAATTAACACTTAAGACAAAGAGCAGCTGAGGCTGATGGGAATGTCAGTAGTTCTGCAAATATAACCTGGATTCTTATGCGTAACCTTTCCTGGTAAAGTATCAGTATCTGGGGTTCTCAAAGTATTTCCAACCTAAAATCTTACAGTTCAGTTTGGTTATAGAGACACTCGATTATCAAATTCATCAATTCAGTAGGTTCGGTAAGGAGATTAGGGATGGCAGACTCTAGCCTGGAATAACAAGCTCTCCGGCACACAAAAACACACACAACTGACTTGAGGAAAAGATGGAAAAATATATTTCTGAACTTAATAGTCCCCTTTTCTCTCAGTTTCAAAATAATACACGTCTCTCCTTTAACATTTTTTTTTTTTTTTTTTACAGCACAACACATTAGCTTTAACCACAATTCAAACACACACAATTCACTCTTTGCTTCACTAAAGCTAGTTCAACAGCGCGGTACTTATGAAGCTTTTACGCCGCGATTAGTTTACAGAGGTGGGCGGCTAAACAGCTCATAACAACCATAAACAGTTTCACATCACATAAAACATTATATCCTGACTAGTTTTGCTCATCGGGTTTTTTTCAAAATACACAAATACACAATACCACTCTATAGCAATGAAGTGCCAATGCTAATTGGCTAACTTTGAGTAGCTAACTCACCAGGATAATCCACTTAATTGAGAAGAAACGCCCAACGGAGTTCGTCCAATGATAATTAATCTCTCAACAGCCACATCACAGTTTAGCAAACTTCTTTCCCGTCTATACTCAATTTCACATCTCAAAAACTGGTAAAAAATGTTAGAAATGTCTTATTTCACCTTCCCGTCTCACACTTCCGCGTCTTCAGGTAGCTGTGCGTGTGTGTACCAATAGCCTGCCTGCGAGACGTTTAGGGGTCATCGGTAAATTGGGGTTACAGAAAATTACCTGAGTTATACAAATATTTGACCATAAAAAGACACTAAGTTAATAGGATTCATCCTGAGGGTACATGAACATGAAATTTCATGACAGTCCAACCAGTTGTTGAACCACAGATGGCGCTAGAGGAAAGGTAAGGTGATCATCAAAGAGAAACGGACTTATCGTCTGGGATCCTTGAATGTCCCAGATGTCTGCACCAAATTTTGTGTGAATCCATGTAGATGAGAAGATGTGGAGATATTTCACAGGATAGGTGCACTCTGACCTACTGGTGGTGCTAAAGGAAAAGTTAGGGGATTTTGAAAATCATTAGGTTTTATCATCTGAGGACCATGAATGTCTAAAAAAAATTCATATCAACCCTTCCAGTAGTTGTTGAGATGTTTCAGTCTGGACCAAAGTGGTGAACTGATCACTATCATCAACAGATGGACATTAGCATTCATTATTTAAAAGTAAAACTTACACAAAGGCACGTGTTATTATATCATCTTTTTATTAATGTTATCTACTTCTCAATATCGTCTTTTTTAACAGCAATATCCACAAAATATTAACAGTGTGCAAGAAAACATGAGTTATGGCACATCAGAGAACAGTTACAAAAAATAGATATATTTTCTTCATAATCAATCAAGGCAAAAAGATACATATACTGTATGCATACACAGGAGATCAGAACACAAAAGATGAGTCTCGGGAAGGGCTCAGAGCCGATTCAGTGATGTTTGATATGAAAAGTCCACCAGTGAGGAGCCTCAACTCTCCCCACCTGACCAGATATGAATTTCACCGGGCTCCGGCTTTTGTGTCACACCACCAGTGGATTTCCATCTTGAGCCATGTGTTCTACTTTAAGACAGTTCATTCTGTTGATCTGATAACCCCAACACCAGCATTAACACAATATACGCCACTATAAGGCAAACTGACAACCAACCAATCAGACAAACTTTCAGCCAAACCAGCAATTTAGGCCAGCTGTCTCTGATTGTAAGCCCAACCAGCTATGGAATGATTGAAAAACAATGATGATTAAAAAAAAACAGCATCTGTCAGACACCATCAGGACAACGTTAGTGTATGCATGTGTGTGTGCTGATATGATATGCATGTATGTCTTATGCAGTTGTAATTCTCTTTGAGTTTAGATGTAAAGAAAAAATGACAAGAAACTGCATTTCCTTTCTTAAACACGTAGAATGATTCAGTTATTTCCTCCCCCTGGATTTGTAATTCTGAGTAACTTCCTACCGATCACTATGGTTTACACTCAGGTTTCTGTTTACTTAGGCTATTATATTTCTTCAGTTGATTCCTTGTTCTTTTTTTCTTCTCAATTATCTCCACAGATAAGATAAAGGAATTCATTTAATTCAAATGAATAGTTTGACATTTTGAGAAATACGCTTGTTTGCTTTTTTTTTGCTGAGAGTTAGATTCAAAGAACAGACACTTCCATGTGTGTTTGCTAGATATAAAGCAACAACCAATCTGATTAACTTAGCTTAGCATAAAAAATTGGAAACCGGGGGGAAACAGCTAGCCTATCTCTGTATGAAGACAACAAAATCGGCCCACCAGCACTTCAAAAGCTCACTAAATAATACGTTATATCTCATTTGTTGCTGGTAGGTGAATTTTGTTATCTTTGGACAGAGCCAGATAGGCTAGTTGTTTCCTTCTGTTTCCAGTCTTTAAGCTAAGCTAACCTATCATCATATCCAGCAAACATACATGAAAGTGGTATCAATTTTTCTAACCGAACTCTCTGTAAAAAAACGAATAAGTGAATTACGCCAAAATGTTAAACTATTCCTTAAGGTCACTAAGGCTTAAATGAGTGGTGAAATAACCTGCAGCTAATACAGTATAGCTGAGACAGGCACAGATATAACTAAACTGAAAAATAAACTCTTTAAATAAGTGAATTTTGCATCTTTGTTACCATTATCATAGCTATTATTGGTCATCACATCAAAAATAACCTTCTACACGTCAACGGGATAATTTTAGTGTGTGACAGCAATAGATGTTAGGCTTCTTCCAAATGTGCGGGCTGGCCTCTGACTGATAAAAAGAGCGAGTGGAGGCCGTACGTGCCGTTCTGACTCACACAGTATCACATGATCACACTCCTCTGGTCAGAATCTCTCTGACCTGGAATTACAGGGCTACAGTACTGTAACATTACTAGGACACTCTGCACAGCACGAATACACAAATTCATGCATGCGCACTCGAACACACACACACACACACACACACAAACACACACACACACACACACACACACACACACACACACACACACACACACACACACACACACACACACACACACACACACACACACACAAAAAACATGCATACACCTCTATTATTTTCTTCTCTGCCTACTGCTTTGCCTAATCATCTTTTCAGCTACCAAACTCTAGCATCTGACACACACCCACACACACACACACACGCACACAAACACACATACCCTCAGCCCTCACTATGGCCTTTCTCCAGCTCCTGATCTCTCTGTACTTTGGGAACGGCCTGCTCTCTCTGTTAGGAACAAAGGCAAATGAAAGATGAAGCAGGGCTTTGTATCAGGATCCTGATTAGCAGTGATACTAAAGAGATATTTAACCTTGTATTGTGCCATCAAGTTTTAATTTTTAAAAGGGAATAGTTTCACATTTGGGGAAATATGCTTTCTTGCTGAGAGTCAGATGAGGCAATTTACACCACTCCACTGTCTGTAGGTTAATAATGAAGCTACAGCCAGCAGCTGGTTAGCTTTGGTTAGCATAACGATTGCAAAAAGGGAGAAACAGCTACCCTGGCTGTGTGTAAAGGTGATAGAACCAGCCTTCTAGCACCCCTAAAGCTCAATACAGAAAAATATCATTTTTCCAATCAAATAAATTTAACATCAGGTGTAAATTAGCAAGCGTCAGAGATGGTGGTTGGTGGACTGTGTCACCTTTGCACATTGTCAGGCTAGCTGTTTTCCCCTGTTCTCAGTCTGTATGCTGAGCTAAGCTAACTGACTGCTGCTGATAGCTTCATATTTAACCTACAGATATGAGAGTTATATCAATCGTCTCCTCAAACGCTCAGCAAGAACTCAAATAAGTATTCAAAAATGTTGAACTATTCCTCTAAAGATGAGCTAAAAAGTTGCCAAAAAGCTGCCTTATTTCAAGATTCAGACAATGTGGAGCTCTCATGGACTAAATGCAACACTTAACTACTTTTTAAGGCGTCCCTGGTGGCCTTTAACACTCACAGATGAGTAGGTGTGGACCCATTAACACATAAACAACTGCTCACCTCTCACCACCTCCAAGAAAGCTCCTCACTCCCAAAAACAAGTGTAGCAGGTGGGTCATATTGACCTTAGCGATCAGAGAACAGAAAAGCAGTGGGCTCAACCCCCATGACAGTCAATCAGCAGCAGTAAGTCCTGTTCAAGTGACCCCACCCAGCTCTGTTACTGTATGTAACTCCTGACAAAAGCTGAAGTGTAATTATGATGGCACAAAGCTCTCTTCTTTCAGCATTTAAAACGTCAAAACAAGCCTTCAGTGCCAAAGCCCTTATAGCTCCTTTAACTAAAAAGAGAGTGTAGGTGTGGTTTATGTGTATGTGTGTGTTGTCCTTGTTGTCTGTCACCCACCAAAGCCAACACTTGAGAAAAAAACTTAAAATCTGTGGGCTGCTCTGGTGTTAAAGGATAGATCAGGAGGTTGGTTTTTGCCACTGGTATGAGGTCCGATGTTGATTCATCCTCTAACAGGATAAAATCCTAAACCTAAGAGGGTTCATGTTTCTAACTTTTATCATTTATTTTATCCTCATCAGGTGGTTGTATTTGTATCTGTGGTTAAAACCAATCTCCGCTATCGCAAGCCTCTAAACCCTGAATGACGAAAAAAAAAAAAAAAATTAACAATAAATGAAGACAGACATGATCCTGACTGACAGAACAGAATAAGTAGTACTAAAAAAATCCAACATCCACAGAGGGGGATTCTGTGTTTAGATTTTGTATCTTACAAACACTGTACAGGATAATACTCAACTGACCAGGTTCCATGGACTCCATAGAAAGAAGAAAACTCAAAAATAAACCCAAAACAGCTACTCTTCAACTTATCACTTCTGCACATGTCTGAAAGAAAGTTTATACACTTTTTTTGTTTCTCTTAACTTCGTTTTTTTCCCCCACTCCATCTTCAGTTTTTACAATCAAGTTTGGTTTTTCAGAGAGGAGGAGCGCTGTGGAGGAGAGGAGGAAACTGAGAGGGGACCTCCGGCTCTTACCGATCCAGACCCTGACCGGTTTGAGCACACCTTAAAGCGAGCTGTTGCACTGGGGAGACTGGAAACTTTAAAGACTGGTAAAGCCAGGCCATATTTATTCTATCTGATTTATAGCCAGGATTATTATGCATTAAAACAAGACACCCCTTCTCTACAGAAGAGGCGAATAAAACAAACAGCTCCATCTTTGCACTATCCAATGCAATCTATCTCTTCTTTTACATGAGCAGAGAAGGAAGGAAATGGAAAGCTTTGTTTTTACTTTTTTGGGATGGCTTCATTTTTAGTTTTTAAGTTTGGGCTCTCTCCTCCAGCCTTGCAGTCCTTGCAGACCGATTCTCAAGTGTGGTCAGTGAATGACCTCGCCCTCTCTCAGGGTAAAGCACAGGGAGGCTTGATGTACAGTAGAAACCCTTGTTTAAGATTCTAGCAGGTACCTGGCGAGGTGTTACCCCCAGCTTAAAATCAGATCTCCTGTCGTTTCATGAATGCTAGCAGGAAAAGAAACCTGATCAGCCAGGGGCAGCACCCATGTCAAAGAAAACAATTAAAAAAAAAGTACAGTATTATCTGTTAAGTAATGTGTCAACAAAATATCAAAACGTACATTGAGTTCACAAACATGTATTTCTTAAGAAAAATGCAGTAAACGTCCGGGGTTAATAGCTTGAGTTCTGTGTAGAGCTGTGTTCCCCTCTTAGGTGCAGATCTGAGGTCAGGTTAGACATCGATTTCAGCCAACAGCAGCCATAATAAACTGCTGTGGAATCAGTGTGACAGCAGATCAGCATCTAGAGACGACTTTCAGTACAGCTTGGCACAGCTGGAGGTTTTGGCCGAAGGCTGCAGACGGCCATATTGAGGCCACAGGCAGAGAAGGTCTGTTGATACAGGTTTTGGGTGGGAACATGCTATAGCCCGATAAAGGCAAAGGCTTTAGCCACTTGCTCCAAAAGGCCCCGCCATGATGTAGCACAGGCAAGTCTGAGGACAAGGCTCTCAGACCTTTTTTTTTTTAACTCCCACATGAAAGAAGAAGCATTTATTGAGCTTTTAATGGGACACCAGGTCGTGTTTGGCACGGTTTGCAGAAGCGCCTACCGCCCATTTCTGTTGCCCACATGCATCCTCCCACTCCCTGCCTATGGCACAGCTGTCCATCCTTTACCCAGCCCCTCATTTCATGACAAAAGAAGGAAAAAAAATCCCAGTTTCCTACTTATTAATGTCCAAATCCCTTTTCAAGTTAAGCTAACACTTGTAGTTAATTTACCAGCATATATGAATATTACCAAAGCACCTTGGATCATACTCAGTGATATACTGATCTCGGCCACTGTGAGCACATGATACCTGCCCCTTAGCTGTGGCTCTGGGGTATGGCGCTTTTCCAGAGTGGCTATTTTGGGAGTGTGTGTATCTGTGTGTTTCTGTGTGTGTGTGTGTGTGTGTGTGTGTGTGTGTGTGTGTGTGTGTGTGTGTGTGTGTGTGTGTGTGTGTGTGTGTGACGATACTAGATACAGCCCTGTATGACTGGACAGGGCTGCTTGAAGTTGTGAATTTGTACGTGTGTGTCTGGGGATCAATTTAGGTACTGAATGTGTACATTGTGTGTATGATGTGCATGGCTGTATGTGGATGTGTATTTATGTGTGTGTGTGTGTGTGTGTGTGTGTGTGTGTGTGTGAGGGCAGGAGGAGTGGAGCGCAGCTATAGGATGATGCAGGGTTTCTTGTCCTTGAAAGGGTTTTCGGAGGTGGGAACCCCAACCAGCAGAGGGTCGCTACGAGCGTGCTGCTCACAGTAACTCATCAGGTCTGCTGCTGCTTTGGACACCTGACGAGAGAGAGGAAGACGCGAGGGAAGGCCAGAGGGGAGGAGAGAAGAGGGTGAGGCGTTAAAATGAGAGGACAATTTGGACAAATATGGGAAAAGAAAAAGATGATGGCAGATGATTGAGGACAGTAGAGAAAGGTAGTTGAGAGCGGCATGAGAGAACAGAAGAAACAGGAGGAAGAAGAGGATAAAGGGGAGGAAGAGAAAGGAAAGGGGGAGGGAGGTTAAGAGTATGGTCAGATGTTGATGGATGAGTCCACACAAACTGACACATGTGGCAGTAAACAATCATCCTACCTTGATGCGTTCGATCCCTGCCTCAATCCTCAGCTGTTCCACTAGTTTCCTGGCCTGGGCGATATTATTAGTGGTAGACATACTGATCCATCAGAATACACCAACACAGGAGAAATCTGAGAGTGAGGGAGAGAGAGAGAAAGGGAAAGAAAAGAGTGACATGAAAAAATGTTCACTATGCAGAAAATGATGGATGATTTCATCAAATATGTTGGCACGCCTTTAGGTGGATATGCAGGGAGAGGGATATCTTGGCAGAAAACGCACAGTCAGCACATTCTCCACGAAAACTGGACTTTGGATCATAGTTTTGCGTGTGCACACTGACATGCTCTTGCTATGTTTTCATCTGTGCCTTGTGTGTAACTAGGACATGATTGAGTGGATCATCCCAGTGACATGAAGGTGAGTTGTGGTTTGAAAATTTACATTTAAACTGTAAACATACTGTAACACCGTGCTTTAAGTCCCCTTTAGTAAATTAAATTTTTATACATTTATTCATATACATTGTTTTGTAATAATTATGAAGACATATTTTATATTATTATTATATATAAGCCTCCACTTATATCTGCTTACAGCTACATTGTAATGTGTTATAAACCATTTATTAAAAGTCTATGTGCTGCTTATGAATGCCAAATAGGGGGGACTTTCGAACACACACACATGCGCATGCAAATATATGTACCATTTAAATGTAAAACATATATAAAAGATAAATTTGCTGTGGTCGCTCGGGTCATATAGATATTACTACTTGTGGTGTAACTCACACTGTACTTAAATATACAAATTTTATGCTACATTACACTTCTACTTTGCTAGATTTCAGAGGGAAATAATTGTACTTTTTTCTACACTACATTTATCTGACAGATCTAATGACTTGTTGCTTTTTCATATACTTTTTTATATACTACATATATTAGATTATACTATTTCATTGATTAATTTGATCAGATGTCAAAATATCATGGATTAACTATACCAACAGTCCATAAAGTATTTAAAATGAGATTTGCCTTGACCTGCTGCAAAATTAAAATGATGCTTACCCCTTTGCTGCATCAGTATTAATGATCAAATAATACAATTCATTATGAAATACTCTCACAGGGGCCATTTTTTCTTCATAGCAAGTACTTTTACTTTTGGTACTTTAACTAGATTTTGTTGATGACACTGTACTTTTAGTTAAGTAGGACTTTAAATACAAGTTGCCAGCCTATCACAGGGCTGACATACCATTCAAAAACCATTCACACTCACACCTAAGGGCAATTTAGAATTAACCTATACCTGCATGTCTTTGGACTGGAGGAAACCCATGTAGGGGTTGCTGTGATGCGACAGTGCTAACCACCACATTGTGATATTGATGTTGATGTTGGTCAAAACTTTTCTTTATGAAGCAAACAACATATGTATATATATTTTAGTAAGTCAACAATCGCATGATGATTTACAGTAGCCTGGACATTGCATTGATGTTGTACTGATTTATAAAGCAATTCACTTGTCAATAGCTCCATCCAGGGGACTGTGTGGCCTCAGCTGTAGATTTATAGCACCACTGTGAGGTGAACACACGGTGGTGCAACACTAATAATTGAGTAAATATAGAAACATGGCAGCTTCTTGATCATTCATGGAAGTGATGGGCACAGTACAACTAAGAAAAAGCTGTTAAGTATTATTGGATCAATGTTCATCATTTACGCTGAGACTTTACCAAACGTACCGTAAATATAGGCAAGAACTGAAAGATCAGTGAATATTGAAAACCTCATGTCTAAATAGGGATAGTACATCCAAGCTGAGATTTAACTTCTGGATAAACACACCTACTGTTGTGTTGTGATCAAAACCTCATACAATGTTTTCCTTGTGTCCAGGACCTGTGAGTACACTGTGTTAATTCACATGTCAAAACTAAGATATTTCGCAGACTAAGTGGACAAAAATAAGAGTATTACCTGACTGATGGTGCACAGACAGGACTCTCTCTGAACACTGATGTGACTGGATGTAGAGGTTCGATCTGAGCAGCCGTTAAACAGTTGCCGAGTCAAAACGACAGAGCTGGGCGATGGCTGAGCTCACATTGGCTTGACTCTGAGTAGAAAGAGAACAAGTGACATGAACAGGGGATTTGGCTTTGAGATTATAAAACATTTTACACATTTCAAAATCTTAGTTTCCACATGCAATTGTGCATACATGGGAAGATGAATTGATTCTCTAATTTAAAAAAAAAAACTACTGGCTTCAATCAGAAAAAAATCTCAAACGATTCCCCATTTTACTTTGGACCTGGTGGAATGACATTATAAAGGCCAGGGGTGAATGAAACTGCACATTTTCAGTAATGAACTGCTAACATTTTGAGATCCTGAGGGTGGAATTTGCCCAATTGCCAAACTGTGATCATCAGCTCTATCGTCCATATTACAACATCTGTCATCACAACTTCATTTTTCTTCCCAAAAGCACCGGTAACACCAATGATTGATCAGATGATGGGACATTCCTGCATTGCCTTTCAAGTTTTTTCATACCTTTGGTCGACAAATCTTATTAAAAACTCCGTCAGTTTCTTTCTTTTACACTTCTGTCAGCGCAGTGTGAAAGTTTCCCCACCAGCACATACGATTAAACCACACCTCGCTCTTCACCTACATCACGATGAGTGTGTTACGACTGTGTCTCTCACTCTCTCTGTCTCTCAGTCTGTCACCCTCCTTCCCGGGGAGAGAGTCCTGCTTTAATTACTCCGACTGTGGAGTAGCTCAGAGATTCATGTCCGTAATTAGGGCTTTTGTGTGTGTGTGTGTGTGTGTGTGTGTGTGTGTGTGCGTGTATGTGTGTGTGTGTGTGCGAGAGAGAGAGAGAGAGAAAGAATGGAGAGAGAGAAAGAGAAAGAATGGAGGGAGTCAATAGACATATATTATAACACCTGATGAAATTCTCTCTCTTTCTATCTCTGCACACACATTTGTATTATTACACTTGTGAGGACATGTCCCCTAGTCTAACCCTGATTCTAATCTTTATCCTGATTTTAACCCTGAGCCCAAACTCTAATCCCCACTGGACCCTTAGTTGAGACCCTTTGAAGAGTTTCCCTTTTCTTTGTCCTCTTGTCTTCTCACGTGAACATCGTTTGTTGACTTGTTTTGGATACTTATGAGGACATTACGTTGACTTAAATTAATTAACTGAAGATTAAAGGTGGATGGATCGACACATCTTGTTTTGAGAATCAATACTAGCATTAATATAAAAACAACATAAAAAAAAAAATCCTACCAAAAACAAATGAACGTTAGTGTTACATTACATTGTGTTCTGGGCACATGAGCATTTGTTGCCCCTTGTTAACAGGGGTGCAGTGAAGTAATTACCATAACATAGTGACACACAGCACATGGCTCTATAGTCACATTACTAGTAAAATGTTTAGCTATTAGTTTTGTTATTGGTGATTCTGGCGGTGGTATTACCTGGTATCTGATTAGAATTTTCTTCTTCTTTTTTTTTCTGGGGCCTACCAACCAGCCCTATTGGAAATGTACCCTAACTTTAACTTAACCCCTGACCTGAATGTAACCCTAACCTTAACAAAAGCATTAAGAAAAACAAAAAACAAAAAACAAAAAGTGAACAAATACTACATAAATATATAAACAAATAGATAAATAAATAAAGCTAGTTTGAAACCTAAAAGGTAATGGTTTACCCTCTGGGGACAGGCCTTCTATCACTTAATGGGAGGTGTGTCCCCATATAACATACACACACACACACACACACACACACACACTTTTTCCATCACATTATACTCCATGCTTGTCAGTATCTGTCAAAGTTTAAAGAGTAAATCAGCCCATAGCTGCATCACTGACAGCCAACAGATGAATGTGCTGTAGATGTATCGAAATAGCAGCAATTACTTCCTCACAACATACAACAACATCACACACTACAGCCTCTAACATGTGAACACTACAGGCGTATGGCAGGACTGGTTTTTCAGTGCAACGTGCTGCAATGCGCTCTTATTTTGTAGGGCTCAACTCCCTCCAAAAAGATAAAAGTGACACAATCTCCTACAAAGTAACTAGGATAAAACTGAAACGAGGTGACACCACTCGCATCCTCTTTGTTTACAAACTGTTGTAACTTTCACACGAGGAGCTTTTGTGTTTTTGAAAGTGAACATTCAAATGCAATGGATGGTTTTGCTCAGAAACGAATGTTTAGATAGAACCAATAAACGTGGGAAGTCGCAGTGACACACCTTTAAGAGATGAATGACCTGTATCATTATTTTCTTTTTAGACATTATAAGCCTCGTGCTTTGATTTCTTCAGCCTGTTGATTTTTCAAACTTTCTGCTATGGCGCATTCCGTGCCGAGAGAAGGAAGCTGGAGCCTTCACACCAGCACAAACATGAATTTCTTGCCTCTCCACAGCCACATCTCTCCTCTCCTGCGCCTCCAAATTGAACACGTTATCTTGAAAAGCCGATACACAGAAGCAAAACCCTATACAGAGAGCTGGTCATTTGTCTCGGCCTGGACCAAAAACATCACCAGAGCTGGACAGGCCCCGGCCAGCCAGCCCACGGCCGCTCTCAAGACGCGCAAAAATGCATCAATCCTTATTGATCCTAGCAGCTCCTGAGCGCTGATCGGGCCTACAGTACGGAGCCATGTCCTCCACTATAGGCCCTGCTTGCTGCTCTACCGTGTGAAAACACAATGCGGGCATTTTGATGGATAGAACAGCATGTCCTCTCTCTCCCATGGCTATCCACACACACACACACACACACACACACACACACACACACACACACACACACACACACACACATACATTCATACACACGCATACGCACAGGCGCGCAGTCACAGGCAGACCTTGTGCACATATCAAAGCCAGAGACATTTTCCCAAGTGAAGACCAGACTAGACCGCTTCAAGTCTGCAAAAAAAAAGAAGAAAAAAGGCCCTGGTTGTTAGCCGTGGGAGCAGGGTGGTGACATGTTTTGAGGGAGGCAGGCTCCAGCAGCCAATATAAACCCATCCAGCGACAATGGGCACAAGGCTGGAGCGCATGCCTTTATGTTCCGCTATTATGCAAATTGGTCGGCATACGGCCTACTTCAGCATATAAGATCCAGAGGTTGTTTTTTTTTTTTTTTTGGATACAGTGGCTTGTGCGTCCTCAGAGTCCAGCCGAGCTGTAGGAAATCTTCCACTGACCCTGTCCCCGGTCCTCCCCACCCTCTCTGCCGGCAAAGGGCTGGGGAAATCCGGATTCGTGACACTGATGAAGCCCCACTCCGCTGCAGCCGCCCTCGGTGACGAGAAGCCGGGGTTGCAGAGGCGCACGGACGCGTTACAATGATCATACACAGGCAGAAAAATACCCGAATATTTCCAAACTCACCTCCGAATGCGCTGTATTGGTGATTTAAAGGGCCAGATCCGCTGGTTTCTCACCCTCTCTGCTCGTTCACTCCCCGTCTTCACCGAGCCAAACGCCTCCCCCTCCGATACCAGTGTCTGTCCACTCCTCTACACCCCCCCCTTCTCTTCCTCCCTTCCTCCCTCTCTCCTTCTCCCTCCCTCCATCCGATCCGGTGGCAGCAGCTTTAACCCAGGGGCTCCCAAACAAAACATTTCCAGACATTCACACATATCTACATCACCCGAATACATCCTCCAAACACGATGATTTTTACTGGGTACTTATCCTAATCACACTCTAATAAAGAAAGAAATAACAACAGGCCAGAATGTAAATCATCTGTTTAGTTGAGGATCTCTGGTGCAGTCGAAACTCCTTTAGACTTGTAGCGTGTACGCTTGGGAATTTAGGAGTGTATACAGGGCAGCACAGCATGAATGAAAGCCCCATTCAGAATTATTTTTAGTAAACCTTTATTTAACAAAGAACTTAAAAATGTAACCGGATCTCCAAGAAATCTCTTGATCTGTGGGACACTGGCTCAGTGGCTGAATGACATTCTCTTCCCAACAACAGATCTAATCACTAATCTTTTCATCCACTGTAAATTGTAGCTGTTGGCTCAGATCCCAGGTAACCTATCAGACAGGCTATACTGCTGCATATGAAATTAACAAAAAAAAAGCCTTTCACTTTTAGGTGCACCTTATTCAAAATACTGTATAATCTACTTAGAGTGGCAAAAAGATAAAAGTTTGTATAGTATATTTTCATATATTGGTTCAAATGTCTCTGACACATTGCTTTATATGATCATAGTACCCGAAATGCACTAAGAAACATATTTTTGTGCAGGATTTACTGATGGAAATCAGAAATAAATACCCCGTTTTCCCTTGAAGACTGTAGTGCACTGACCCTCATATTTTCTGCATTAATTGTACATCTGGAGGAGGGTTAGTGCTCAAAGAAAGTGCCCTAGTCTGTCCATTTTCTCCCATCAAATTTGACATAAAATAATCCACAACACAGCTCTACTATGACCTTTGCTCCCTATTTATCCAACCTGCAAGATATTGTTTGTTTCCTGTGACATGCACATCTGGATACGTGTACCACTCAGTATAAAAGCGACTCTTTCCAACAGGAATCCATTGCGCTGCGCTGCCACACGGTGGCGCCATCGGCCCAACCGTAGTTCCGTCTTCTCCAGGGAGGTGTGGGCCGCTCCTTCTATTCCTGGCAGGCCCAGCGCAAACACGCATCGTCCGTTTCCACCGAGCTGTAAGCCCACTCCTCCACACGGAGCTAAAAGTGCTGCATCTGCTGCATGATTATCGGCTGGATTTGGACTGTTTGCTCTGCACTGAAGGGGGGGGCAAAGGTCTGATGTGTAGGATAACATCTTATTTTTACATTCTTTGGTTGGGGGCTTTAAGATGCTGAAAGAGATGGAGACATATGGGTAAATTCAGGGTTAAAACAGCGTTGCTTTCACGCACACACTGTATGGAAACCATTTCAAGCTGATTATTATAACCACAGGAGAGCTATTTATAACTCACACACAGTACCGCATTGGCCTCATTTCCACTGACGTGTGAAATTATGCTGATGCCTATACATTTCTCTTACATTTCCTCACCTTTCTCTTTCTCCATCTCCCTCCTCTGTTTTTCCCCTCCCTCCCTCATCTGTTTCACTTCCTTCCTCCATTTCTCTCTCTGTTTCTTTCCCCTCCCTCCCTCCTGTGTGTGTGTGTGTGTGTGTGTGTGTGTTGAGGAGGCAGTGGGTTACAGTGGATTACAGCAGGGCTCTTCATTTTCGAAGAAATAAGTGGTGGAAGCCCATGAGTCACGACTTTAAAGATACTCTCAGGCTGACAGAGGTGGTGCCCCAATCCACACACACACACACACACGTTTTATGTTTCTTGCTGTCAAGGCTGGATTACCAACCAGGCAAAGTGGGCAGGTACACAGGGGCCCCACACCTCAAGGGCCACAAGAGCCCTAGATCAAACCTCCCCCCAAATTTTGGATTTACTATCATGGGAAACCAAGAAAATAGCTCATATTAATTTTTGAGAAACTGGTCCCAGTGAATAAAAATGATTAATTAATTATCAAAATTATTCAATCGATTAATTGATTTACCAACTAATCATTCAACTAGGAAAACTGATAGGTTTCTGAGGAAGGGCCCAACAACAAATTTTTGCCCCCTCGGCCCAAGAGGTTAATCCGGCCATGCTTGCTCTGAGCTGTGGTGTGTGTGTGATGCAGGTTTATCTTTGACTTAATACATAGTTTTACCCTGGATGTCTAGAAACACGTGTGTGTCTGTGCATGTGTGTGGACAAGAGGATTAACTTATTAAGATCCAGTGGAGGGGTTGCCACATTGACCCAGGGGGGTGAGAGTTTTCTTCTTTCTGCTTTGTTATACACCCCCGCAGCATCAGCAGCATCAGCAGCAGCAGCAGCAGACGGGGAGACCTCTGCCTGTCGTAACGCATCTCAGTCCCCCCACCAGGGTCACACCACTCTCTGATGCGACAATCGTCATCAACGTCACTCTGTCTCCATAGCAACCGCACCAGGCACAGCATCCCCAAGCAGATGTTGGAGGGTTAACGGAAAAGTGAGAGTGAAAAGAGGAGAACACAGCATCTCTCTCTTTCTCTCTGTGTTTTATTTGCAGTGTGAATTCAGCAAAAAGAAAAGAAAAGCCTGAGGCCATGCAAGCAGCTCTGCGAGGCAGACACAGCAGTGCTCTGAGCTAAATGCTAACGTCAGCTTGCTCACATGCTCACAATCAAAATGCTAACATGTTGATGCTAAGCAGCTATAATGTTTATGTTCTAGTTGAAATAATCAAACTAACTACATTTACTCAAGTACTGTACTTAAGTAACCTATAGTTTTAAGGTACTTGTACTCTACTCCACTAGAACTCAGAGGTAAATTTTGTACTTCTTACTGCACAACATTGATTTGATAACTCAAGTTACTAGTTACTTCCTAGATTCAAAAAGTACAATCAACAAATACATTATGATGCATAAGATAAAAGACTTTATTGATCCCCTATTAAACCAAACAGTATATAAAGTAATTAGAATTTGCCTGATTATTACCACCTGCAACAGTAAAGTGATTTTCTGCATTATGATTATAATCCATTAACATAAATTAGTCTAAAATGGGCCATTCTGCATAATTAGTACTTTTACTTTTGGTACTTTAAGTGTATTTTGATGCTTTTATAGGTAAAATTTTGAATGCATGGCATTTACTTGTAACAGACTATTTCTACACTGTGGCATTAGCTCACAACTTTCACTTAAATATAAGATACCTCTTCCACCACTGCATAAAACATATGAACTTAAATATGACGCATTGCTATAGACAAAACTACTCAACAAGCTCTATCTTGACCAACTATAAAATGCTACTTACAGTATAACACACTTAGCCTACATATCACTGCATCAGTACATACATCAGTGCTTATTTCCACCTGCTGGTGGCGCAAAAGCAAAAGTCAGAGGATCATCAAAGTCGTTAGGTTTTATCTTCTTGGGACCATGAATTTCATATATTATGTCTATGTAGTAGCTGCAAGCAAAAGGTGACAAATCAAAAAGGCAAGAAACACTCCTCAGTTCACATTTTTATTAGGAAAATCATTTTGCAGATTTGATTATTATAATATATATATATACATATATATGTATATATATATATATATATGTATATGTATATATATATATGTAGTTATTTTTAGTTATTTAGAGGATGCATCAGCACAGTATATCTTAATAGGAAGACTATTGCTAGAATAAATATCTATACATCATAATTATTAAATAAAAAAAAGTTCCAACAGAAGAAAAAAATAAATCAATTGAATCATTTACAAAAAACAATAAGTGCTAAAAAGAAATAAACCATTTGCAAAACCAAAGCCGTAAATGCTGCTGAGGAATTTATTTAAAAAATACAAAGATGATTCACAGTTTGTGTCCTTGTTCTCATGCTGGCTGGAACACCAATAGGGACCATGCAGGAATGAAGCGCCAGAGTGACAGGATAGTACCAAACTACATTACCCACGAAGTCTATATGCCCCACTTTACGCGCCCCCCTCCCCCCATCTGCAAAAACATCTTGTAAGGATCTGAGGCAATCAGACGAGAAATAAAGGGGTGAGCCGGAGAGGTTAATGGGGTCAGTGGGAGCATTTTTCCTATTACCACCCTCCAGAACTGATTTCCTTCAGATTCTCCGACAGGACTGTAACCTGCCCTCGTGTTGGTAGGAATGAGAGTGACGGACTAGAAACCCACAGCTTTTAATTGTGTATTCAGGTTCTACTGACTGCCCCTCATTTCAGCGTGGCATGATCATGTTTCCTGTCCTGCTATGGAAGAACACATGTGAACCAAACTTCCTCTGCTGTATGAGACTCTTCAGAGTACCCTGTTACCTCACTGATGGCAAACAACTGAGGTAAACTTTGCCTGGTACTAATCCAACTTCGGTATCATTAAATGCCATTTTATCCTACTTCTTTTCTCAATAACAGACCTCTTTTATTTCACTCCAGCAATTTTGATTTTCAACTGTCCTTTTCCCAAAGTCATATATTTATTTCAAAATACCATTGATGCAGCTTTTGATCAAAACAACCCGGGACGATCCTGTTGTGCAACTGGCTGGTGCTGCCTTGGTCTGATTAAGCAGTCACAGTCACATAGCTGGCTCTGCCCAGTTTGCTTTGATTGATGGACTTAGACTTTGTGATGAAAAGTGGCATAAAAAAACAAAAAAAACAAACAAAAACATTTGGAACCAACATTTTAAGAAAAAAACTCCTGCTGGAATTAAATAAAACCTACAATAAATAAACTCTGTTATTATGAAAGGAAGGAGGATGATTTTTAGACATTTATTAGATTATTTCAGAATTTCATTTTTATATTATATATATTTGTCTGTATTTAGTTACATGATGAATCATTTTACAACATCTTATTTATTCATATAATATTGGGCACTTTGGGTCTCCATACATTTCCTGTTTTAAAGTCAATCAGTTGTTTTCCTGGCAGAGAAAATTAAAGCATACTTTGGAAACATCCCAAAGTTTTAATGACTTCATGGCGGCTGGCGAAGTCGACATAAAGCCATTAAGTGGCTCTCTTCTGAAATAAAGTAAGTTTTGTGTCGCTGCTAAACGGACGCTTTGACTATAAGAAAGAAATGCAGGCACCTTCCCACCACAGCTTCCTTTCCTCTGCACACTCTCCTCTTTCATCTCTGAAATATTAAGTCCTTTGAACACTATTTACAACTATCTACAGTTGAACATGAGCAGCGTCGGCCCCAGTCTGTTCAAGTGCAACCGACTCACAAAGATATATATAAAAAAAAACGAGAGGGATGAATGTGAAAGAAAGTCAGGAGAGCTGAGTTATGGAGAGGCAGTGCTGACAGCAGCGCCTGTACAACAGCACAGAAAAACAGCCAGCAACGAGGCCTGTGAATGCAATATGTGTGTATGTGTGTGTGTGTGTGTGTGTGTGTGTGTTTGTGTGTGTGTGAGAGAGTGAAACTGAAGGCATACAGTCTGTCTATTTTGCCTCCATACATGTTTTATATGCTTATATATGTGTGTGTGTGTGTGTGTGTGCAGTGTGTATTGAGCAGTGTGGGATGACTCATGCAGAATGTGTAGGCATTCTCCACAGGAAAGCTTCAGATATCTGACAGACACTTCAAAAGATATGGTGCAGCAACGGCACACAAACATGCACACGTACACATTCATGCACGCCAGAGTGAAGAAATGCAAATAGGTGGCTGATTGTGCACATACATGGATGCACTCACAGTCACTCTCACTCACACTCACACACACACACACACACCCACACACCCACACACACAGCAGCAGTGAATATGCTTCACTGATAAATGAGATGAGACAAGCCATGGGAGGACGGGGGCAGAGGTGTCTGTCCTGATTCATGCCAGCGTTTAACTCACACAGCCCAGAAACTCAACGGACGCTCACGCCCTCTCCATGCACGCCATCTTTTTCTCTCACTGTCTCCCCCACACCCCAACATGCAAAGCACATTTGAGCCCCACACAGGCCATGGTTAGTGCGGTTTGCTCTCCTTATTTTCACACATGATTTCTATTAATAGCACAGGTCCCTTCCCTCACTCCAGCTTGTTGTCCATACTGCTCTCCTACGCTGCCTCATTGCCCCCCCCCCTCCCCCTCCCCTCCCCGCTGTATCATATTCCACACAGGAACATGAGCAACGGCCGTCTCCTGTAGACGTCAGCAGAACAGCAGATTGCACAAACATGCGCTCGCAATCTGGCATTTGCGTGAAGCAGTCAGACGTGTCAAGGTGATATTTATGCAGCGTGTGCAACACTGCTGCCGGTAGCTACACATCAGATCGGAAACTGAAGGGGGGGGGGGGGTTCCTGGATAATTGTTACAGATTATTTCCAGTTTCTTTTAGTTTTTAGTTTTAGTGCTTCATATGGCCACATCAGGCAGGCTGCACTCCATCCATCTGGCATCTTAACAGGCAAAAACAAACGATTACAAACACAACTTAACCCAGATCTGTTTCACACGTCTTGTTTCTGAAACGGAAAGTGGCGAACAAAGATAAAAGAGTATGAATGAGCATCCCTGGTGTCTAACAGGTAAAGGGTATGTTTACAATGCAAATCTTTGAGTTTAACAGGACCTCACATTAGTGCAAAATACAACACATCAATAACAACAGATTCATTCAACGTTGAAAAATAAAAACGTTAACAGCCATGGAGTGGAACCTTTAGTTACATGTTCACATTTTGCTAGTATTATCCGATTGATTAGATCTAAAGAGTGGATGTGTCAAATACAATATATCATGAGCATCATTATTAAGCTGTATATTACAGTACATAGCAACATCAAACCTCCTACTGTAACAATATTTCCTGGTTACAAAGGACTTATTCCCAGAAAGACAGCGGGTACAGTTTATCTTTACATGGGTAACATCTTACTTGAAGCTCTTTTAAACATCTCATTGAACTACCATATGCTTTATTTACAATAACTACACATTTGAAATTGTTTCATGTGGGTCTGTGGGCATGAATAATGCAGGAGGGGCATTTCACATGGAGCTTATAAATGAGGCGTTGCTGATTAATAAGCAAGTCTTCAAGTAAAATGTCACCCTAAAGTGCCCAGTCGTTGATTCTGCTGCACACATAAAGACATAGAAGGAGACAGACGAGAACAGTTGCTGTGCTTTTTCTTTTCTATTCTTTTCTTCTCTCACTCTGTTTTTTTTTTTGTTTTTTTTTTCTCCAGAGAGATGGACACACAGTTAAAAGGGGGCGTCATCTGTGTCTCTGGGTTAAACAGTACAGGAGCAGATTATCTGCCAAATTGTTGTTGTTAAAACCGCCTGAGAGATGGAGAAAAGTAGACAAATAATCAGACCCTCCTCGGCGTCCTACGACCTTGCTGGGGGTGTTTATGTCACATATACGCACACTTCACGAACCACAGCTAAACGGGGTCACATCACGATACCCTGTTGTTCAGCAGAACAGTAACCTCATTGTGCCATGTGCCGCACAAATAAAACATTTTGACGACCTACATCGAGACTGAGAGCTATACCTATGATCATGATGCGATTGTTCCTCCACGTTCAGGACTGGCGGGTAAAATGTTAAAGATGGAAATCGCACAGAAGACAAAAAACTGAAAACACAAGAATATACAAAAAAGAAACACACACAAAAAAAAAATGTACAAATAGATATGTCGGTAAAAAAGTATTGTGCTTTTGGCTGCCCTGTGTACACTGTGTACAATTATCAGAGCTCCTGCGTGAGAAAAGGGTGTTTATATATATGCACTTTGGACATGGAGCTGTGGCTCCAGGATATTCTGTGTTAAGCAGATGATGTAGGCAAAAACATGGCAAATCAAAGTAGTGTGTGCGTGTGTGTGTTTATGATATAAAGTGCAATGTGAGGGCATTTAGGCTGAGTGAGCCCTGCTTGTCTTCATGTAATCCATCAAGAGTGTTACTCAAATTGACAACCACAGCTATGCGCGTGTGTGTGTGTGTTTCTTTTTTTTTGACACTTGCATGAATGCATTTGTGCGCATGCTGTGAGTATATATGTACGTGTGTGTGTGTGTGTGTGTGTGTGACTCATTCTGTTTCCTGATGCCTGGATGAGCGTATGAGAGGTAATGTGACCAAACCGACCAGAGGAAACAGAATTCAACCCGATTCAGGTCACACTGAATATTCTGCATGGAGCAATTTTACATCCATCCCTATTATTATTATCATTATTATTATTTTTTTCTTTATTATTTCTTTCTCTGTGTGCTTTTTGTTGGGCTTTTGACCTTACATGAATTTAAAGAGCATCATAAAGCAAGAAACAAAACAAACAAACAAAAAAAGGCAAAAGAAGAGAAACCTTTGCATGAAAAGTGCCAAAGCAAACTGACATTCTTGACCTCAGAACCAAAAATCATCCCAGCTCACCTCCGTCTTACCGGCTTGGCAATGATTATCCAAAGTGTATCGTCCTCAAGGCAGACTTGTATTTCTGTTTCATATTTCGATGAGAGCCCAGCGTCCTTTCATCCACAGTTAATCGACACTAGATGAGAGTCTTAAAAGGATTGTTGCGTCGAATCAGTAAGCGCGTGTGCATGCCCTGCCGCTGGATGCTTCTCCACTTCAGATGAGGACATTTAGACGGGTTGCACATGAGTTTTCGATATAATGGCAGCTTGATGAAGGTAAAGAAGGGTCTTATTCTTTTAATCTTTCAGGAGAGATGATTGGGATGAGAAGGTGGGTGAATTTTTTTCTGTAGCCACAAATCTAAGCGTCAATGCTTCAAAACTTCACATCAAACTTCCTGTGACTGATATAATAGTTGGGGCAGGGCATGTGTGGACTAGATATGGGATATGTTTAAATATCCCATGTTTATATACATCAGAGTCCTCAGATGTGGCTCTGGGATGTGGCCGGGTCGTGTGTTCTGCTGCTGTCCTTCATGCTAGCAGTCTCAAAACCATCGAGTCCTGTCCTAACTAGCATGACGGACACCTTCAGTTTCTTAAAATGGTGTTTCTACCAGATGAGTGAGCTTAAATAACTTTGTCGACTCTGTTACATATACATTATGTTTCTCTATAGTTGTTATAATAGGGGGTATGCAAAGGATGAGGGTGCTGGGATGTCTGGGGGGGGGAGTGTTTTGCAGGGAGGGAGCAGTGAGGTGTAGTGTGTGAGAGAGGACACTTAATGCTTCGTGTGGATCAGAAACCTTCGGTCTTTGTTGAGGATCGCTCGAGGATCCTGCAGCCCGTGGTCTTCACTGCAGTCCAAGGTCTTGATGAGATCCTCGGTCGGGTTTGGTGGCACTTGGATAACGCAGAAGTCCACAACACACACTGTTTCCAATAGCGGCTGACGTCCACAGGTGAGACACGCTTCTTGTTTTTAATTTGCTTCTTGATATTTCTGTGGCCCCCCCCTCCCTCATCTCTCCTTTAAGCAGATTGCACATGGATGTAATGCTCCAAGCTGAAATCTGGTATGTCTCTTGTATGTAAGTTGTGTTTGTGAATGCAGCAGTCAAACGGAGGAGGATGTGGATGATGAGATTCCCGTTGCCTTCCAGACGTTTTGCTCCGAGTGACACGTTTAGTGAGTCTCTTTTTTCTCTCGCCTCCCTTCTCTGCCCCCCCTCCCCCCCTCCCCTCTCTCGCCTCCACCTCCCCTCTCCTCCTCTCCTGGATTTACATCACGCTGCATTTGCCCTTCAGTCTCTCGGCACGGGACTGCTTCCCCGAGCGCTTGCCGTCGATGTTGAGGCTCATGTTCCTCTTCTTGTCCAGGTTGAGGAGCTCCTGGAAGAGCTCGGTTACGTTGTGGTTGGTCTTGGCTGACGTCTCCATGAAGGCGCACTTCCACTGGTTGGCCTGAGCCTCCCCGTCCTTGGTCTCCACCTCCCGCTGGGTTTCGTCGCTCTTGTTGCCCACGAGCATGATGGGAATGGCCTCAACGTTGCCCTTTATGGCCAGGACCTGCAGCGAAATTAGGGAGACTGTTGTTATGTTCTTGCTGCAAAGTCAACAGTCACACAAAATGTAGATTTCCAAGGCAATCTTAACACCAGTTAACAACATCCTTGGAGAATGTTTGTCTGCATGTTAGAGCGTCCTGGTGGCCTGGGGGTGTAAGATGTTGACCATGTAGTTGCAATGTCCCTGTTTTAAATCTGAAGATAATTCATAATTTACCATGTTCTAAGTGAAACTGGTATTTATACTTTCTATAACTAATTATAGGCAACTTGAAATAAAAGAAATGGAAAAAAGGCAATTAATAGAAAACAATTTGGGTGAAAATAGTGCCAAAATATAGCATAACAATTTATTTATTGTTGTTGTAACAATTTATTATTTAATTTATTTAGTATCAAACAGTAACACCAGACAAATAAGGCATAATGTATAAGGTATTAATAAGTTGTAATTCATGAATGAATAATTTACAAATGCCTCAGAGATCAGTTAATAAGCCATTTATTTATTTATTTTTTCTGATGACATACTCTAATATAAAGTTAGAAAACCATTTACAATTTAAATGGAAATAAATGGTCCGGTCTGGATGCACTGCAGCTCTTTTCCAGTGGGTCAATAGTTGAATTTATCCATTAAAGGCTTCTTCTAAATGTTTTAAATAAAGAGCTACATAAAAAGACAAAGCTCATTTTGCTGGAGGAGAATATAGATCTACTAAATGGACCTTTTTCAATTTGGCAATCCCTAAGTCGTCCCTATTAATGACTAATCATCTGTAAAGAATGCATAACTGATGTATTAAGCTCAAAGACAGGCAGGAAGTGGTCAACATGGTTTTTGATCTCAACTCATTAAGCTCAATGTCTCCTGATAACTGCAACCCGCTGAAGCCTAAATGACAAAAACACTGTCCTGCAACGCAAACTTCATTTCATTAAAAGGATGAAAAGTTTCTTCACATTTCTAACAAACAATTCAAATCTTTCGTGGACACACAAGAGCAAAATGTCGACACAACACACACACTCCCCACCTGTTGGTAAATGGGTTTGAGCTCCTCCAGCGACTGTTTGCTCGTGATGGAGTAGACCAGGATGAAGGCGTGGCCTTTGGAGATGGACAGGCGCTGCATGGCCGGGAACTGGTGGCTCCCTGTGGTGTCGGTGATCTGGAGCGTGCACACGCTCTTGTCGCAGCTGATCACCTGGCGGTAGGTGTCCTCTACTGTGGGGATGTAGGTGTCCCTGAAGGTGCCCTTCACGAAGCGCAGGACCAGGGAGCTCTTCCCCACTCCCCCTGCCCCGAACACCACCACGCGATAGTCGTTGCTTTGCTCCGGCATTCTGCCCCCCTCAGGCTTAAGACAGTGTTACACCTATGATGTTAAGGGTGGGGGCATGTAGAGGAGGCAGGGAGAGAGGAGGGGGGTGTGGAAGAGCGGGAGAAGAGGTTTTTAGCGAAGAGATTGTACAGAACCAGCAGACACAAAGCAGAAGGAGGAAAAGGAAGGGTAAGTGTTGGCGGGACTCGACCTCAGGCCAGTGGGTGTGAAAGCACTCTGTCTGTCCTCGTGGTCTGACTGTGAGCCAGAGTACAAATTAGAGAGGATGAGTTTGGTGAGGCTCCAAGTGTTTCACCTGACGCAGACATTTCCCTAATCAATACCGTCCAGTTTCTCAGTTTCAACCCCAAAAACATTCCAGCGCTTCCTCATATATCAACTTAAGCAACTGCAGCAAACCCCGGAAGAGACAGAGTCCCTGCAGCTGAGGAGACTAAGGAGAATCTCCAGGCCTTCAGGGGCTGGACACAATAACATGCATAATACAACACACCTCAAAGGACAACAAAAAATACTTTAGAATTGAATCAACATCTCACAGAACATTATTAACCTCACAAATAGAGAATATAATGCAAGGCTACCGTATTAGATTGCATTAGGTCGCATGTGTGAATGACACACACTGTATCTTGAATGTATGCATGATTCACTGCCTCTCTGTTGTGCTTCCTTTTGGTATTGATCCAGTCACAAAGAGGAGGCATCAAAGGCAGCCTGCTATTGTAAATGTAAACTAAAAACTAAAAACTAAAACAATGAAAAATTAGATGTTTTTCATTGTCATTTGTGTTGATGTGAAATGTAAAGAATGGAAACACATTTTTTTCCCCTGATCTCTGCTAACCTAGTGTCTATTCCATTTCTATTCATACAATTTATATTTTTTTTTAAAATTCAACTGCTAAATATAAAAGTTAAAGCAGCTCTTATCAATATTCTTTATATTAACTTTGGATCAAATAACTATGTGCATGTGAAAGGTATCACTTGGAGTTAAAAATGAACACAGAATTATGTCAAACTCCGCAGTTCCCTTTAGCTATAAGAAGCCTTTAAGCATCCCTTCAACTCACTAAAGCTCTGACAAACTGACTATTAACTTCCTGCTCAGCACCAAATGACTGACAGACAAAGGTAAAGGAGCATTTAGCTTTAGAACTAGATGTCTCCCTCAGGAGTTCATGGAGCCCAAAACAGAGATATAACAAAATAAGGGTGAATATTGGACTTAAATTCACCAGTTGGTGAGAGACATGACTCTTCTGTAGCTGCTGGATGTGTAAAAACAGCCAACTGTCTGCCAACATGTTTTGCCATATTGACTTAAAAGATGATCGTGTCAGTGTTGTTTTCACAGTTTTTTGCACTGCGCCCATGTGCCCCAAAAAAATCAATTAATGCAGATTTGAAGTAAACAATTTAAAAACAGTGATGATCTATTGTTTGTTTTACAAAATACCCGCTGTGCACATTCAATGTTAATACCTTTAAGGTATCTCATCCAGAAAAGTGGGGGTTGAAACAAAGCCAGCAGGGGTATTGTATAATCTACAATTTAACATTGCATACAGAAAAGTAAACTCGAACGATCACAGCCACTCTGTGTGCAGTCAGCTTATGAAACTTATAATATTTACACTAATTGAAAAGAATATACAAATCCAAAGCTTTAATAACTCCGGTTGGTAGTCAGCAGCAACACTGCACACTGAAGGTCTCTTCAAACCTTCACTCTCAGTATTACCTGCGGCAGCTCATACATACTGTATGCATCTGGACAGTGTCCTCACAGCTAATCTATTGCTATCTTTGTAAGTGCTTGTGTGTCTGCTGAGCGTCTGTGCGTGATCAAGCATTGCATCTTGTTACATTATTCATCTGTTGTGGTTCCAAACTTGCTTTAAGGTCCCATAATAAGATGCTCCTTCAGTTGTGATCATGTGCTGCTCTCTAAGCTCCGGCTGTAATGAAACAGTAAATTGACATCAATACTAGATGGAATAAGTGGATTTCTGTCATGCTTGCGCTGCTGGAACCCACTATTGATGGCAGGGCCCCTGTAATTGCATTGCCAGATTCTAGATAATATCAGTCAAGGAGTTCAAAATAAATGGGGATTTGGAGAGTGCCTCTTGTGTTTTATGGTCAATCTATAGCTGTAAGTCTGGGTGACATATAAGAGTTTTTTATATCCATGCTGAACACACCACCACAGTTTCATTTGCAGGTAAGTCTGTGTTTTCTGCTCATATGCCTGCAGACTGTTAACTGTTTTACTCTGGTCTGGCAAAATAAAATCTTATTTATCGGCTCTCCGGTGTCTTAGGCTGATAGTATACTCTGCATTTTGAGATAGTGAGGGATCCTGTCAAATAACAAACAAAAAAAAAAAAGTCTTAACAGCCGGTTTCCAGTGTGCTTGAAGCTTAAACTCTGGGATACATGCTCAAGATTCAAGCCTATCAAAGTACTTCTCTTTTAAATCATAGCAGATTGTGGAAATAAGAACATGTGTTAGACAGGTACAAATGAAAAAAGCAATAGGGTTAAAGGTCTTGGTAATAATAAGCAACATGGCTACAAGGCTAAACTGTTAAAAATGTCAAAACTGGTAGAAACAAATGTTCATCTGCGTTGCCTCAAACTTTTTGCTTTAATGAGGCCTTCAGTCACTTTGAGGAATTGTGGTCTGAGCTGCCAGAGTGCTGCACAGTGATGCCTGCTTTATGTCCGACAGAAACAAACAAACACACACACACACACACACACACACACACACACACACACACACACACACAGCATTCAGCAGCTACAGAGCCAGATATTTCCCCTCAGGAGTTGATGGACACCAAAAACAGAGCTAAAAGAAGAGCAAATATTGGACTTAGATTCATCAGGTGGACACAAACATGACTGCGAATGGACGTTAATGAAGCTCTGTGTCTGATGAATTTGTAATCAGGCAACTGTTTGCTAACACGTTGGCCATATATTCATAGTATGTCAATAAGTCAATGATGTGTTTACAGCTTGTTGTGTGGCCTCCAAGTGGCCAAAAAAAAATCAATTAATGCAGATTTTTTTTTTTTTTTTTTTTTAATCGCAGAGATCTGGAAACACACAGATGACTGGACAGTAAAAAAAGACAACAGTTCATCCAAATGGTCTTCATCCTTTATGTAGAGATAAAAAACAAAAAAACAAAAGCAAGTGCATTAGAAATGTTGATAAGAATCACTCATTGCACAGGCAGGTCACTGTTGAACCAAGAAGTAATTCTGTAAACTGTGATAGATAATCACAACAGACAGTTTGGGCATTCATTTTTACAAAAATAAATTTGGCTAAACAGGGGAATTCTTATCCTGTCTGACTTATTTTTAGCAGTGTAGCTGTGTTCCCAGATCTCAGCAACATGGTGAGTACAGGGTTATTATTAGAGATGGAAACAGAGGCCAAAAATTACTAAAATAAGTTTAGCCCATATTGGAAAACAAGACTGCAGAGCTTCTATTTTGTTGATATTTTGATAGTTGTAATGAAGTAATGCAAAGAAAAGGATCACACAAATATAAATGGCACAACTGGCCAAATATCTAAAAAAATATGATGATGATATTTTATGATATATCAGTGGAAAAGTCTTGATGCTCATATGCACACAAATGTTCTCTATACTCTCTCTTTCTGTGTCTCTTTCGTTTCAATTTATGCATCATGAAAATATTTGTCATGGCCTTCCCTCTCGCTGTTTCTCCTGCTCACTCACTCCCCGGGTCTCCGTGCTTTTTGATCAATAAACTAAGGCCGCTGTGGTTTTGATCGATGGGGCTCGTCTGTCTGGGCCCTGTCAGTCTGTCATCCACCCGCGCTCAGTGCCTGTTGGTTTTGTTTTGTTTTTTTGTTTTTGGACGTGGATTTGAGCTCCGCGACAAGGACTCTGCTCATCAAAACCTTCCTCCGCTCCCTCCCTTCTTTCACCTGTACTAAAATTAGCTGTCTCCCTCCCTCTGTCAGTGTCAGCAGCTATATCTGCACACACAGGTGCAACCTCACAGTGACACACACACACACTGTACTTCCGCTCCTCCATCATTTGTCCTTGACACCAGGCCTCCGAGATTAATGACACTCCTCCCAAATGCAAGCTGTCTCTCTCCATTTCCCCCTCCTCTTGTTTTATTTGAAATGAGAGGACTGCAGTTGCTTAATGAATTAATGGTATACTATAAATGCATCTGTGGCAGTGCAGCCAAACTCCATTAGCAGATAGCTTTGGCACAGGCCAAGCAGTCCTCTTTCCCTCTCAGTCAGAAAATAGATAGATGCAACGCAGCCTTCTCCACTCGTTTTATTTCACAGAACGAGCAAGGAAATGTCACCTTTAGCGAAAACATGCACATAATTTCCCTCAAGAGAGCCACTTACGCAGCGGCACAAAGGAAGCGCATTAACCAACATCAAACACAATGCCATTCAACAGATCAAGAGCGTGATTAAATAGACACCCACAAAGCGGTCCCATGGTATCTTGTGGAGAAAAGGGTTTTAATCAAGCCACGGATACTGGAATGTTGTGGATACGCGGCTATTTTGGCGATGAGTGTTTTACAGGATCAACGGCTTTTCAGCTCAAGGTTTTTCTCAAATATTCGTCCTCTCCGGGCCACATCTGTGCGCACACACTCACATAACACACGCTCATCGCAATGTCTGAAACCTGCACAAAGTTTCTTTAGCTGCCAGACTGTCAGATAGTGTATGAGCGTGTGTGTGTGTGTGTGTGTTAGAGATGTGTATTTGTCTCTGCGCAGTCAAGCAGAAGATTCCTTGTTCTCTGTGCACACATCAGCTCAGGCTTTTTCAAGTGTGTGTGTGAGTGTGTGTGTGTGTGTGTGTGTGTGTGTGTGTGTGTGCGTGTTTTGCCACAGGAATGAATCTGCGTTTTTAGCGAGGCAATTTTTAGACCCGGGCGTTTATATTAGGTCTGAGCAGACTGTAGAGGTTCAATTTACACATTTTGATTCAGT